TTTATTCTAAACGATTACGTATAGGTAATATATCGTTGTTGAATATATTTTTTTATTGCCTTAGTAAGCAGACGAGCATACGGCCCACCTATTGGTGTGTGATTACCGTCGCCCATTGACGTCAGCAATGTTAGAGGCAGAGCCTACCGTTAAGTACTCTCCACAAGCTTCATTTGAAGAAAGACATGTCATAGCGCTCGGAAAACCCCGTGGAGGGGAACTCATGCCAAAGCCAAATGGTTCGTGGCAGATAAGATCGGCGGGCGGTGCGATGGTAAAGACGAGATGATGGGATCATCTCAAATAGTTCCTCAGAGCACTCCCCATGGAACATACTGTAAAAAATACAGAGGGAACCGATTTCCCTCCGCAGACCCAGGATTGCCCTAAACACGTCATTACGAATCCTTCCGACTCATTAACGGTTCTTTTAGGTACCTCAAGCAGCGGTTACTGCCCTCGCCGAACCCGTCGCTTGCGACGAAGGGCTCGACGAGTAAATTAACCCATAGACACGGCCCAAAGAATTTCCGGATCTTCTCAGTGTGCCGCGTTTCCGATCCGGTGGTAGATTTTGCGAAGCACTGCTCTTGCTAGGGCCAGTGTTAGCAACACTCCGGTTTGAGCCCCGTAAGCTCACCTACACGTCAAGTAGAAGCTGAAATAGCCTCTCCAGGCTATCAGCATAGGTAGGAAAAAAATACCTAGAGCTTCCAAATATCTTACATGTAATCCAAAATTTATGTTACTGTCAGAAAACTTGTACCATACGGCTTGTTTTTGTGTGACAATCAAAGGCACAACCAAGGACATCTAATCCACTATAAGGCTAAAGTGAACGTTGTCCCTGGACTATAGTGTCCGTTTAATAATATACCGGTAGCTTGGTTTTCTATTAGGCTGTGGAGGGTTGATATTGCTCGGTAGACCGACGGTCCGAATGTGGTTTTTTCCCTACCTTTACTGATAGCCTTGAGAAGGTATTTCAGCTTTACCCTAACGTGTAGGTGAGCTCATGAGCAGTGCCTCGCAGAATCTACCACAGTATCGGAAACGCGACCCACTGAGAAGATACGGCGAGAAACTCAGTGGACTGTGTCTATGGGTTTAATTTACGTGCTTAGGGCGAAAATGTGGTTGTTCGGAACTTGTATATCGACGCTTGAAAGCCAAACGTGACTAAGCGACAATAACTGCTTTGTACATAAATGATAGGCAATAACCATATTCGATGCGCAAAAAAAATATATCTCTAGGTCTATTAAAATCATTTCAATCCTACAGCTACTAGCTAGATTCTGCTACAGCTAGATTCGTTTAAATAAATTTTGTTTTGAGGTATTTCAACTTTAAATTAGTCTACTGTAAAGTTCACGCATTGTCGCTTAGTCACGTTTGCCTTTCAAGCGTTGATATGTAAAGCTTGTCCCGAAAATGTCACAAGCAAGACTTGAGCATCTGTCGAACATCTTGCGTTCTATGAGCATGGTGGCTACCCGCCACAAAACAAATGATAAGTATTCGGTTTTACAAGATCAGATTGAGATATCAGGGTGGTCTGCGCAACAACGAATGTAGGGTAATGTTACGTAAAGCTATGCTCACTTCGTAAAAGATTTGAATGCCACGCATTCGAAAACGTCACGTAAGAACGTTGTTGCCGCGTGCACAATAAGTGCAGGTCTGGCGACACGCAAAGTAATTGTCGCCTAATCTCTTGGTGATTAGTTAGGAGTCAATAAATGGAAATATCTATCATTGTACTCTGTATATTATAAGGCGCTGTCTCGTGATGATTGGTTTTCGTAATGACTTTTGCGTCAATTCACCTAAAGACGATTTTAAATATAAAAGGCTGTGAGGTAAAGTTGAAATTCGGCGTTAAATGGTTACTGGTACACCTTTGAGATATGAGTTGTAAGGTCTCAGTATAGTTACAACGGCTGCCCCACCCTTCAAACCGAAACGCATTACAGCTTCACGGCAGAAATAGGCAGGGTGGTGATGCCTACCCGTGCGGACAAGAGGTCCTACCACCAGTAACTACGCAAATTATAATTTTCCGGGTTTGACTCCAAGCTAAACTGCCAAAACGAGGGAGTCATTAAGCGATTTTCCACAGGCAGTTAACCAAGTGTGCCGTGAGATCAGATTTGTTTCATAATCGATTCACTTTTTTATTCGTTCGCTTTAGCGCTAGTTATTGGCCTTGCTTCATTTACGTTTTATTCCAATATACAGCACAGTATTATGATGAAAATTTTGATTTCACTTTGACTTTATATATTTTAGAATTTTGTCTAATAACGAATGAAAATAATTGCTGCGTGTTCGACAAATTAATATAAGTATTTTCGTAACTATCTATTATTGATTGTCCTCGATAAATCCTACGGCTTAATTCATGCTGAGTCACTATATTAATATCGGAGACAGAGGAAGTCATTGTTTAAAAAAATACAGTGAACATTGTCTCTGGAAAATCACTCCGAATGTTTCGATAAGCTTTTAGACGAAGGGATCATTTGGAATATCCAATGAGTCTTAATGCGATATAAAGCCAAAAAATACCACTTTTGGGCAGAACCAGAGGCTCCAATTTGTCATGATATTCTTCTTTAGTTTTTAGGTCCGGCACGATTTGTGCATTAGCCAGCCTCAAGTAATAAGATTTTTATAATTGGCCGTTTAATTATTTACAGTTTATGATTAATAAAAAACGAAGGAAACTAATTGCAACACAACATAAATGATTAAAAACGAATTAAATTTACAAATGAGATGATTTCATGAGTTTTAATTAAGCTTATATTAAGTCGTCGTGGCCTAACGGATAAGACGTCCGGTGCATTCGTGTTGAGCGATGCACCGGAGTTCGAAACACAGGCGGGTACCAATTTTTCTAATGAAATACGTACTCAACAAATGTTCACGATTTACTTCCACGGTGAAGAAATAACATCGTGTAATAGAAATGAAACCCGCAAAATTATAATTTGCGTAACTACTAGTGGTAGGACCTTTTGTGAGTCCGCGCGGGTGGGTACCACCGCCCTGCCTATTTTTGCCGTGAAGTAGTAATGCGTTTCGGTTTGAAGGGTGGGGCAGCCGTTGTAACTATACGTGAGACCTTAGAACTTATATCTCAAGGTGGGTGGCGCAATTATGTTGTGGATGTCTATGGGCTCCAGTAACCACTTAACACCAGGTGGGCTGTGAGCTCGTCCACCCATCTAAGCAACAAAAGTTCCGTTGAATATTATCTAAAGTAACTTCTACTTGTAGTTTGCAACTGATTTTCTTGTATACGTATGAGTGACTGCTGTTTCCTGTCGACCTCCAGGGTTATGACCTTTGACCGCGCAATTAACCACCGCTGCCCGGCTACCTGCTCAATTACATTAATATTTGTTTTTGTTATTCTAGTTCACTGGTTCATGGCTAATTTTGTGTTGTAAAATTAACGGTCGTTACGCAAATTTTGCGGGTTTGTTTTTAGTGCGCGATTGCAGTTATTCGCTGCAGAAGACGTTCTTAAACACGTTTCAATTGTGTGTCTCTAAAGAAAAACTGTTTACGGATTTCCGTCAAGGCCTTTTGGAAGGCTTAATGAAGGAGGGAATAGCTTCCACCGAGCGGGTGATATTGCTCGGTAGACCGACGGTCCAAATGTTGTTGTTCGGAGCTTGTATATATGCAAGCTTATCTTGATAATGTCGTAGGTGAGATTCAGGCGTCTGTCAAATATCTTGCGTTGTATGATGGCTACCCACCACAGCCTAGTCGCATTGCTCATTTACTAGTAGTATGTATTAGTTCAAATTTTCCAACAGAAAAGCCGAAGGTATTAAGTATACCATACAGCCATATTCTGTTATATTAACAATAATTTTAACCAAAATGAATAGAATGAGGTCAAAAATAATTTATTTAAGGCTGTAATCAATTGGGATAAAATTATAATAAGATGAGATGGTTATATTCTGAGATTTTATCAGAATTATTAGAGGTATCCGATTACTTTTTTTTTATTTTTTTTTTATTGCCTTTGTAGGCAGATGGTGAGTGGTTACCGTCGCCCATGGACTTCAGCAATGCCAAGGGCAGAGCCAAGCCGCTGCCTACCGCAATAAGCCACGTCTAACGATGCTACTTTATTTGCTCACACATTTGCACTTTAACAGCTGCTAAATAATTAATAAACCACTGTTAATTGTCGTTTAAATATGAAAAAACACGAAATTCATATGATAAAACAAATTCAGTCGACTTTGCTAGTCGCATCCCCGCCAAAATGTCGCTCATTTACTACTGCTGCAAAATCAATTAACATGTCAATACATGTTTGCTGTTTATTTAAACTCCAGCAGTCCTTACGGCTGTATCGTATGTGTTTTTCTCACGGAGATCTCTGCTTTTAGTTCTATTTAGGAAAGATATGTTCACGAAAACACGAACTAAGTAATTTAAATATTATAGTAATAAAATTTATTATTATACATAGTTAAAATGATACAAAAGCAAGTCGAACTACAAAAAAAGAATACAGCATTCATTTTTGTTACCTTAGTGATCTTGTTCCGGATTTGTGTTTTCACTGGTGGTAGGACGTCTTGTGAGTCCCCACGGGTAGGTAACAAACACCACCCTGGCTATTTCAGCTGTGAAGCATAATGCGTTTCGGTTTGAAGGATGGCGCAGTCGTACTGTAAAAATGGAGACCTTAGAACTTATATCTCAAGGTGGATGACGCATTTACATTATAGATGTCTATGGGCTCCAGTAATCACTTAACATCAGGTGGGCTGTGAGCTCGTCTACCCATCTAAGCAATAAAAAATAAAAATGTTATCATCGCTAACTAATAGTCCTGAGGTCAGTGAAAATTACGTTGCTAGAATTCCGTTATTAAATGGATAGACAGAAACACGTCAAGTCAATGAAAGCGTATCAAAAAATGAAGTTACACACACGACCTTAATCTTATGTCATTGTTACAGAATTAAAAAAAAGATGGAAACAAGATGGAGAACGTTCGTGATATTATCGTTCTGCTTGGGTTCAGGTTAGTACTGTTTATCTTAAAATTGCACTGACTAAAGTCGTAAACCCGCCCAGGTCACATCTCTGCGATAATTATGTTCCGAAAGGAACTATAATAAAATTTAGAATTGTTAGTTCCAACTTATATAACGTGTAGCGTTATGATATAATTAAAAAGATCATTAAAAGTCATTATGTGGTCTTTCGTGACCATGAAAACTATATTATTATTCGGAATGTCGAAAATAAAATAATAACAATTTAAAAAAACGATAGATTAAATCGTAAAAGTACTTTTAAATCGTAAATTGTGTCTGCGACTTGCCAGAAACTAAGAAAATACTATTATGCATTATGATTGAATATCCAAATTAAACTCTAAAACCTGCTACAGAAAGAGATACAGTCATGAGAGGATCCGGCGAAGCAACCCCAACGAAATGGTTTAGCCCATTGAGTTTCCCGCCGGATCTTCTCAGTGGGTCGCGTTTCCGATCCGGTGCTAGATTCTGCGAAGCACCGCTCTTGCTAGGGCTAGCGTTACCAACGCCCCCGGGTTAAAGGCCCGCGAGCTCACCTACTTACGCGGGCATAGCCTCCCAAGTTCTACCAGCTTAAAGTAGTAAAAAAAAGAGATGGTTATTTTATAAGCTATTAAATATCTACATTTTAACAATAATAAAATCAACCCCCGCGTGATTCATATAACGTCCTAACTCCTGCATTTTATTCTTGTATATATTGCTCTTTTTTTCCTACCTAAGCCGATAGCTATGAGAGGCTATTTCAGCGTAACTTTAACTAACTAGTAGGTGAGCTCACAGGGCTCAAACCGAAGTGATGCTAACACTGGCCCTAGCAAGAGCCGTGCTTCGCAGAATCTACCACCGGATCGGAAACGCGACCCACTGAGAAGATCCGGCGAGAAACTCAGTGGGCTGTCTACGGCTTAATTTCTCGTCGAGCCTTTCGTCGCAAGCGGTGGGTTCGACGAGGACGGTGACCGGTGTTTGTGGTACCTAAAAGCACCGTTAATGGATCGGGAGGATCCGTAATGCCGTGTTTTGGGCAAAGACATAACAAATGAATGGAAAAGGCGATATCGCGGAGATCCGGCATGTTATCTTCTCTATAATCCTGTAAACTTCTAAACCAATTAACAGGCTTAGCAAACATGTTACCGGTGTTCACGCAAGACATGAACAACTTACCACTATCGGAGAGTACTCCGGTTGGCACAGTGGTCTACACACTGCAGGGAGTTCACCCTCAGGGGTTACCGGTAAGTTTCAAGCTCCTCTTTAAACTATTAAGTCGTTTTGTTTGACTTTTTATTTTTATTGCCTGTAGGCAGGAGGCAGACGAGCATATGCCTGATGGTGAGTGGTTACCGTCGCCCATGGACTTCAGCAATGGCAATGGCAGAGCCAAGCCGTTTCCTACCATTAAGTACTCTCCACAAGCCTCGTTCGAGGAAGGATATGTCATATCATTCGGGAAACACCGTGGAGGGGAGCTCATTCCAAAGCCGGATGGTACGTGGCAAAAAAGATCTCTGGAAGCGCACTGTAGATGAACGCAGTGGCTCCAGGTATGGATGAAGTCTCCGGTATGGATGAACTCTACTCCGGTGGCGGGCGGTGCGAAGGCAAAAACGAGATGGTGGTATCGTCTCGAACAATTCCTCAGAGCAAGACTAAATAAGTGAATATGCATCGGGAAAGATTATTGTCATCTGTGCGTCACGCGGACCGCATTTACCGAGAATAAGTACAATTTCCGCATTCAAAACGATTTTTGTGTTACGAAAACCGAAGCTTAAGAACGTAACATGTACTATAGAAGAGAATTTACGTTGTTTATGTCTATGGGCTTCGGTAACCACTTAACATCAGGTGGGCTGTAAGTTCGTCCACCCATCTATGCAATAAAAAAAAGTTTAAAAATTGTTACATTTCAGATCAAATACAGCATGGTCGGCTCTGACAATTTCGTTGTAGATCCTGAGTCCGGCGATGTCACGCTAGACAAACCTTTGGACAGAGAGGTAAGAAATATAACTACTGACATAACACGCCCACCCTAATTCGCCCAAAAATTACATTGTACATTATATTGGACCTTTGGATTGTTTAAGTCTCAAAAATAAAAATCATTATAATTAACCTTTTTCAATAAATACTTAAATTATTTGGAACAAATCGTGCAGCATCATCCGTGCTATGGGCAGCCTGTATTGCAGCAGAGACTGACAAAAATATGTATGTATAATGACAAAAATATGATTTTATATATACAAACCTGTTCATAACACGAATGCTAGCACGATGTGGGAATCAAACCCACGATCTTGGGCGCAACAGTCGGGGTCCCTAGCTAAAGTTACTGCTCCTCCGTGCCAGTCAAATACCTTTAAAACTGAATTCATAGAAACATCAATTTTTTTATATTCATAAATTTTAAGTATTCACCTTTATTTTGGGATGCTTATAAGTAAGTATGTACATATACACAAATCATCATCCTCCTCCTCCTTGCGTCGATAATCCTCAGTGCTGAGGGTCGTGGCCTCCTCTAATCACTTTCTCCTGCATCATCTTGCGCCATTCCTGCCTGTCCTCGGCTGTGTGGATAGCAACGTGGACTGAGGTATTGAGAGTGGAGCGTATTTGGTCCGACCAGCGCATTGGATTTCTGCCTCAAATCATCATAATAAAGGAAATATCCGATCCAAAATTATCTGATTCTGTTCCTCAGGTTGACGATACGCTGAAGTTCCTCGTTTCCATTGAAGCTGACGACCCTCAGGGTCAGCAGAAGCTGATACAGAAACAGCCCGTCACAGTCATAGTGCTAGATGAAAATGATAATCCGCCTACATTCAAAAACGTGAGTTGTGCTTATGGAGAGTAGAGGTAAGGAGAACCATTTCTGTGTGTGAAAAAGTGTCCGTTCAAATCTGCTAATTAAGGGTGGCGTTATAGTAACAACCAGCTCAATTTAAAAAAAGGCACTGAAAGCTATTAGAATAAGATAGAGAAATAGAAAAGGACGAAATAACTGAAAGCACTACAAAATCACAAAAAGTACTTTATTTAAAGCTGATAAGAAAATGCAATCGTATCTCCACGTTTTACAACAGCAATAATTTTAGGTTATATTAACGAAATTAGTTTGGACTACGTAAACATCTTGTATATTGCGCTGTCACTAACTACTCTAGTCATTAAATAACTAATCAGGTCATAAGTATTGTCACACAGTAAAAACTTTTCTTTTAGAATGCTGGCCACAAAAAAGTTTATTGAATTCGAATTTCGAATTGTTCATGAAAATAAAAATGTATACTTTTAGAATTTTACTCATTTTTGAATTATGGAGTGGACGCTTAAAGAAGACCGTGTTGCAGTTATTGCGTTGCATCGTTGCGGTTACGCGCCAATTCAAATTTTCAATTAAGTAATAGCGTATTTGGTAGTAAATGTGTATTAATGTAAGGTCTTCATGTAATGTTATATATAGTTTTTCTTTGTTTTTTATATAATGAACCGCTTTTTTTTATGCATGCAGTCGGTACCTGTAATTGTGTTAGCATTTAGTGTGAAATCAATGTATATGATACCTGTAATGTTCTGTGCTGATGTATAACATGTTGGTACCCAATAAATAAAATAAAATAAAATAAAATAAAAATAAAAATAACATACTGAAAAATTTGAATATAACCAAAAGATTCGTTTATCGTACCATCAAACGATACAATGAAGACTCTAGTGTAGATGACAGGTCAAGAAGTGGTCGCCCTCGGTCTGTTAGGATTCCAGCAGTGATAAAAGCTGTGAAGGCGCGAATTCAAAGAAAACCCAAACGTAAGCAGAAACTGTTGGCCCTTCAGATGGGGTTTTTTTTTTTTTTTTTTTTTTTTATTGCTTAAATGGGTGGACGACTTCACAGCCCACCTGGTGTTAAGTGGTTACTGGAGCCCATAGACATCCACAACGTAAATGCGCCACCCACCTTGAGATACAAGTTCTAAGGTCTCGAGTATACTTACAACGGCTGCCCCACCCTTCAAACCGAAACGCATTACTGCTTCACGGCAGAAATAGGCAGGGTGGTGGTGGTACCCACCCGCGCGGACTCACAAGAGGTCCTACCACCAATAAAAATTTATGGGGTTAAGCAGAACCACGGTGAAAAGGGTGTTAAATGAAGACTTAGGGCTTCGGGCATATCGAAGAAAAACAGGACATCATTTGAATGCTCGTCTAATGGACCTGAGATTGAAGAGATGCCGCGCTTTGTTGAAGCGGTACGCGGGAAAAAAATATCGCGGGAAAAAGAGAGCTACAACAAACAAAATGATAAGGTGTACGCACGCAGTAGTGAAGAAGCGAGCAACCGTATTCCGCGTGTCCAACGAGGTCATTTTCCATCCTCGCTCATGGTATGGTTGGGAGTTTCTTATTGGGGCTTAACAGAGGTACATTTTTGTGAGAAAGGTGTAAAAACGAATGCAGTTGTGTATCAAAATACAGTCCTGACGAACCTTGTGGAACCTGTTTCTCATACCATGTTCAATAACAGGCACTGGGTATTCCAACAAGATTCGGCGCCAGCTCATAGAGCGAAGAGCACACAAGACTGGCTGGCGGCGCGTGAAATCGACTTCATCCGGCACGAAGACTGGCCCTCCTCCAGTCCAGATTTGAATCCGTTAGATTACAAGATATGGCAACACTTGGAGGAAAAGGCGTGCTCAAAGCCTCATCCCAATTTGGAGTCACTCAAGACATCCTTGATTAAGGCAGCCGCCGATATTGACATGGACCTCGTTCGTGCTGCGATAGATGACTGGCCGCGCAGATTGAAGGCCTGTATTCAAAATCACGGAGGTCATTTTGAATAAACTTTAGTGTCATAAGAATCTATGTTTTGTTAAGTTCATTTTGGTATATGAATGGTTACATAATGAATAAACTTGTTTCAATTATTTTACATTAAACATGTGACAGAATTTATGACCTGACTAGGTATATTAAATTTCCTAACTCAACATAATTCAATCAGTTAACAACTGTTCAATTCATATCATACCCTGTGCCTATGCTATCGTCATTCTGGAGGATATTTGAACTGCTATTTAGTGCTGAAAGTGGGACACTTTTCCAAACTTCTCCCATATGAGACGGTTCTCCTTACCTCTACTCTCCATAGTTGTGCCGTGGCGTACAAAGCGTAAATTGCATGTTTCATAGTTTAATTAAACTGATTTACTTAAGATTCTACTTGAAAAAAGTTCCATTCAGGTACATAATGTAGTTACATAATCAATTTTGATTTCATGACGTTTAAAGCTATTAAAAGTGATTTATTAGTTAATTGTTATTTTTTTGGCATATATAAGTTGCTTAGAGCCGCTGCTGGCTATCAGACATCGTAACTACTCCCCAAAAAACTAAATTGAAAGTCTAGGCTCTAATCTGCGTCTTTAAGCGTGAAGCACAGATGTTATCGAGGGCCTAGCTATTGTGAAACAAATCAAAATCTCACAGCTTCGAATACAAACCCAAAATTTAGCCGCAGCTCACGCGTGTTCATACAATTGTCAGACCAACGGTTCTCCTCATACCCGATCCTGTAGACCGAATGGTAAACAGCCCACTGAGTTTCTCTCCGGATCTTCTCAGTGGGTCGCGTTTCGATCCGGTGCTAGATACTGCGAAGCACTGCTCTTGCCAGTGTTAGCAACACTCCGGTTTGAGCCCCGTGAGCTCACCCACACGTTAGGGCGAAGCTGAAATAGCTTCTCAAGGCTATCATAGGCTAAGCATAGGTAGGAAAAAAAAGCTTCTCCTATTAGAGAATTTAAACTGATTAACCTATTTATGTATACCTAGAATCCTTACGAAGTAGACGTGCCAGAAGACGAAGCTATAGGAACGACCATCCTCAACAACATACTGGTGGAAGATAAAGATTTTGTCGGCGATAATCTTGAAGTTGGATGTTCGGCCAATGACCAGGTATGCTCACGCACTTAAAAAAACCTATCAGTGCATTTTATTCATCGGTTGACATCTTCGATAATATCAAGCCAACAGAGTTTTTTATTGTGGCGAATTAAATGTTGATGTAGAATATACACTCGTAAAGTATGCTCTTGCAAGAAAATTCAGTATCGGGTGATAGACTATTTGGTTTAAGCGACATTTTCGCAACTTTACAGGAGGGCCATTTAAAATTTTGGCCAAATACCAAATAAAACAGTGTTGACAGTAGACATCCTCCTAGCATCGTGGTACGTAGTGCTGAGGGTTTTTTTTTTGTTGCTTGGATGGTTGGACGAGCTCACAGCCCACCTGGTGTTAAGTGGTTACTGGAGCCCATAGACATCTACAACATGAAATACGTACTCAACAAATGTTCACGATTGACTTCCACGGTGAAGGAATAACATCGTGTAATAAAAATCAAACCCGCAAAATTATAATTTGCGTAATTACTGGTGGTAGGAACTCTTCTGAATCCGCACGGGTAGGTACCACCACCCTGCCTATTTCTGCCGTGAAGCAGTAATGCGTTTCGGTTTGAAGGGCGGGGCAGCCGTTGTAACTATACAGACACCTTAGAACTTATATCTCAAGGTGGGTGGCGCATTTACGTTGTAGATAGCACCAGGTGGGCTGTGAGCTCGTCCACTCATCTAAGCAATAAATAAATAAAAACATTTTGTTGCCTTATATTCATTGTTAATTCTATTTTCATGTGAAAATATTTGAAGTACTCTCTCTCCCTCTAAAACACGTGTAAATTTTTATGTTTTTCATTGCAGTGGCCCGAAGCTTGCGACATCTTTGACGTGGTGGCTTTAAACTCGACTTCGCACCACTACCACGGAGCTCTGGTCCTGAAGAGGCCTCTCAATTACAACGAACGGCAGTTCTATCAATTTCAATTGTCTGCCACAGTGAGTAATTAAACCATATATAGTTGGACCGCCTTGGAGAACTGGACGGAGGGCAAGGCAGACCGAGTTTGGTGGTAGGGCGTGCTTTTAGTGCCATCGTCTTGTCATGAAGCAATTATGCCCTGGAATTCGAAAGACATTTCGTATGGTAGAGTGGGAATTGAACCCTAGATCTCAACGAGAGCAATAGTACTGCCCTCGATTCAGTCAGACAAAGGTTTGATTGTTTTCAACAAGAAATAGCTTCATAAATATAAAAAGTTTTGCGGATCATTTTGTTATACAGTCAAAACTATATTTACGGCTTAATCTTTTGTTCGATATTTTGTGTTTTTATTAAAAATAGTAAATATAGTTTTAATTATGTATATGATTCGTGGAAACCGAAAAAAGTTCTATGTTTTCGTACATCAGTTTTACAGTTTGATATTAACTGTCGATAGTATTCCACTCATATAGTAATTGAAAGAGAAGTACACATCCGGGGGAATGTGTGGCGATTTTGCCCGTAAAAACTTACAAAGTGTTGCCACATGAAAGAGTGGTAAAGTTGACGACAAATCTATCAATGTGGCCAGCGGTAGACAGCGGCTTGGCTCTGCCCCTGGCGTTGCTAAAGACCATGGGCGACGGTCATTCACCATCAGGTGCTCGTCTGCCTACAGGGGCAATAAAAAACAAGTCCCAATGGTTTCGTAAAATTCGTCTTCCCCAATAGGACGGCATTCAGAACTCCTCCGGACAAGTAGAAGTGAAGGTGATAGACGTCCAGAATTCGAGTCCCATGTTCTACGGAGCGCTCAGCGGAGCGCTGTCAGAGGACGCGCCGGTCGGCACCCTGGTGCTGACGGTGAAGGCCAGGGACGCTGACAAGGCTCAACCCAGGCCTGTCGTCTTGGAGCTGCTCACTAGTAAGGATGTCTAAAAATCGAATCTTTTTTTTTTATTGCTTAGATGGGTGGACGAGCTCACAGCCCACCTAGTGTTAAGTGGTTACTGGAGTCCATAGACATCTAGAACGTAAATGCACCACCCACCTTGAGATATAAGTTCTAAGGTCTCAAGTATACTTACAACGGCTGACCCACCCTTCAAGCCGAAACGCATTAATGTTTCACGGCAGAAATAGGCGGGGTCGTGGTACCTACCCGGGCGGACTCACAAGAGGTCCTACCACCAGTAAAAAAATCTGCACCTTTGGGATTTTGATTAACATCTCTCTTGATTTTTAACACGCTTTATTAGCTTGGTATGTGGTAGTTGATGTGGTGGGTATATACTCCTCTGTTAAGGCTATCTCTCAAACTTGAGTGAGGGTTTTCATTTACATTTGTATGTATAAGATCTGTTTCCATAAACTTGAGATAGAGTACTATTGCTGACACAAATTATCCATAGAGAATCCATATATTAAAGATTAAAAAAAATATTTGAAATATAGTCTAGTCACACCTAACTTAGGTGACCTAAGTTTTATTCGACTCTACCCTCTTACTTACTTTCGGCTACCATTCGACGATTTGAATAAGCATCAGCGGCTATATCAGGAACATGTTAATCGTTTGCAGATCCTCTGGATTTCTTTCTGTTGGACAAAAACACTGGAGAACTACGGACAGCCAAGCCGCTAGATAGAGAAGCTCTGGACGATCCGTCCTCGCCACTAAATTTAACCGTCAGGGTAAGAGAACTCATGTAAACTGACCTTTTGAAGTCTATTTGTAAAATGGACCTTATAGCGCTTCCGAGTATGGCATATCCCCTCCAGCTTTGCTAGAAATGACGTCATACACTTTTAGTTTCCCTATTAATAAACGTTAGACCAATATACATGTAGGAACGGAACGGAGTGATATGGAGGAATGTCAGATATGGAGCATGACTGAGTGAGAGAGATAGATGTCGTGTTAGGAAGTAAGAAAGGAGGCGAATGAATGCGGAACATCTAGATTATTGCATAAGCAGCACGGGAGTTAGTTTCCGGACGCGACGATGCTGAGACGCATTGTAACCCGGAAGACGAAAAACGTATGTAACTTAAGACGATATAATAAGACGAAATAAAGAATCGTGATTTTGTGTAGTGATCGAGTGTTTCTCTGGCCCACCCCGAATATAAAATCCCACATACATGCAAATGTTCATTGCTAACTCAGAGCTGCCAAAGTTTTGTGGCCTTGTCGTATCCCTCTTGTCAGAGCTGTCGTGGTCATCACTCAGTAATGGTACTTAATTTAGAATTAATTATTAATGGTACTTGAACCAATGTACCATGGTTCACTTGCGGACTAAATAATAATAATAATGATGGTTGGTTCGAAGTAAGTATCAGTTGAATGGAATATTTTGAATGTATTCAACTGATAATTATTTTTAATAGGTAAATGTATCTTTTTTGTTTGATTGGTTTTGTTAATTTTAAGTATGTTTCAATGATAAAATGTACACACACATACGGACTTGCTGTTGTTGTCTGAAATAAAATAAATCATTCCTTTTTTCATTCATTCATTCATTCATTTGGTTGTGGTGAGCCTGATGTCATGCAAACAACCTTCAATAGCCAGCCTACTTGACTTAGTCAGTCGATAGTATGGGCAACCTTCCACGCAGTCTGGTGCTTTGCCGTGAACGACAAGGCGCTCTATGGAGTCATTTGACGCGGTTTCAGGCAACCGAAATAGTGAACGGCTCACCGCTGATATCGGATTTGACGTCGACCGTCGCGACGGTGACCATCACCATTAAGGACGTGAACGACGAACCGCCCCGCTTCAACCGAAGGGAGTACGCCGTTCAGATACCGGAGAGTCTACCGATCGGGACGCCGCTGCCCAACTTAGAGATGGTCGTCACCGACACTGATTTGGTAAGTGCCAGGCTCTCATCTCAACCTATGTCACTTATCAATATCAATTTGATGTATTTGGACTGTTTGTATAGTTCTTTTGAATGTGGTTCTTTTTTTACTGGTGGTAGGACGTCTTGTGAGTCCGCGCGAGTAGGGAACACCACTCTGCCTATTTCTGCCGTGAAGCAGTGATGCGTTTCGGTTTGAAGGGCGGGGCAGCCGTTGTACTCAAAAAACCTTAGAACTCATGTCTCGAGGTACGTCGTAGGTGTCTATGGGCTCCGGTGACCACTTAACACTAGGTGGGCCGTGAGCTCGTCCACCTATCTAACCAACAAAAAAATGTGGATTGTTATTTTGTAACAACAGTCGGGCACGCTGGTGGTAGGGCGTCGAGGTACCACCAGCTCACTTATTTCTGATGCAATAATGCGTTCTGGTTTGAAGGGTGGGACTATAACATTATTTGTAAAGGTAACCCTCCTATAGCACGGTATATACGTCCCTACAAAGTATCGTGTTGTGCGAAACCGTGTTATATGAGATTAGAAGCCAGTACAAAAAGGAGAGTTTTTTTTTTAGAATGAAAAATTTCAAATATATATAAGTATATTTTTTTACCCGTTACACATAACAAATAAGCAGTAAAAATTCGATTGTCCCCATTTTTTTGTGTTGATAGTGTATAATGAAAAGTTCTAAAACATTTTAAACAAAAATCTCGTTATCGTCTTGTAGAAGTACCGTGTTACATAATTTTTCTAATGAAATACGTACTCAACAAATGTTCACGATTGACTTCCACGGTGAAGGAATAACATCGTATAATAAAAATCAAACCCGCAAAATTATAATTTGCGTAATTACTGGTGGTAGGACCACTTGTGAGTCCGCGCGGGTAGGTACCACCGCCCCGCGTATTTCTGCCGTAAAGCAGTAATGCGTTTCGGTTTGAAGGGTGGGGCAGCCGTTGTAACTATACTGAGACCTTAGAACTTATATCTCAAGGTGGGTGACGCATTTACGTTGTAGATGTCTATGAGTTCGAGTAACCACTTAATAGCCCACTGACATTCTCGCCGGATCTTCTCAGTGGGTCGCGTTTCCGATCCGGTGGTAGATTCTGCGAAGCACTGCTCTTGCTAGGGTCAGTATAAGCATCACTCCGGTTTGAGCCCCGTGAGCTCACCTACTAGTTAAAGTTACGCTGAAATAGCCTCTAAAGGCTATCAGCTTAGGTAGGAAAAAAAAACCACTGAACACCAGGTGGGCTGTGAGTTCATCCATCCATCTAAGTAATAAATCCTTTAAACACCAGGGTCTCAATTCGGTGTTCGGTTTGCGTTTACTGAATGAGTTCGAAGCGTTCGTCGTGGAGCCCCCGTCGGCAACCGGCAGCGCCTCCGTCACCATACGACTCAACTCCAGCTTGGACTACGAGGACCCGAACCAGAGGAAGTTCATTTTGGAGGTAACTATTTATAATTAAATAGTTAGGGGGCATAATCACACCCACCAAGATAGGGGCGTCACTATTTTTAGGTAATTTCTATTGAGTTTACCGTGATTGTGACATCAATAATTCAAGTTAGTTAATACATATTATAATGAAAACACCGTTTATGGTCTGGTAAGTCGTAAATCCACAATGAGCTATTGGCAATAAACTAACACTCTACGAAAATGATTTAATGGTTTTATAATAATACACATTCATTTCTAGACATCTAGAATCATCTGACTAGACAGTTTCATTACATCTTGCACATTTTTGACAATACCGTTAAATTTTATACGAAAAATAGTTTTGTTAATCTTCAAGTGGCGTTGAAGGTCAATTCGGTCTTTTATTCTCGTAGCTCATTCTCGAACCTTCTATTCGAACACTGTGCTCACGCTAGGTGATAGCAGAAGAGCTGCACACGACCCCGAAGCTGTCGTCACGGGCCAGCGTGACGGTGACAGTGACAGACGTCAATGACAATGCGCCGCAATTCGCGGAGGAGCCCGTGGTGCGGTCCTTATCGGAGACTTCGCCCCCCGGCACCCGCCTCATTGCCTCGCGTGCCACTGACCGGGACACGGGAAGGTAAGACTGCTCTTAAAATAACACATACTCTTTTGGACATCTAGAATTTCAGGTCGATTGTGACTTGCGTTAAAAAGATATCGTAATGCTTTTTCAGCGCGAAGCAAATGATTTATATATCGAATTTCCTCAATTCCGTGGTTTGTACGTGACAATGACAACGGACAGATTTTCTTGTGTATTCATAATGTTATTAAGAATGTTCGCAATATTGTTTTTAAGAGGAAGACATATTTATGATCGAAATAATAATAAAAAAACTGCCCCTAACGATTTCAAAGTTGTACAATATCGGGCTCTGTGTTTTTAACGTTGTCGATAGCGTAAAAACTAACTCAAATTTGTATGCAGTTAGAACAGTGCACATAGCGGCAAACGTACGCAAACTCTATACAAATTCGAGTTAACTTTTACGCTATCGAGAACGTTAAAAAACTCGCACTGAGCACTATTTAATTCAACTTTTATATCTTAGGTTCGGTACGGAAGGTATTGTGTATGAGCTCTCCGGTAACGGGGCGGAGCTGTTTGACGTCGACAAGAGATCTGGTGTGATCAGCGTCGCGGAATGCCCTACTCCTGGACAACTGACGTGCCTGGACTACGAGAGCAGAAAGGACTATTTCCTGCAATATAAGGTGAGGTTCTAGCATGCGAAACGGACTATTTTTATAAACCGTGTGAACGGTCGGTTCGTTTTTAATACGCTTTTATTAGCTTCAGACGTATGTATGTTAATGTTAACGGAATCTTTGAACATGATTTTGACCCCCCCTTCAAAACGTCGGATTAACTCGAAATTTGGTATATTTATTAAGGAACAATGACAATACAATATTAAAATAAATAAAAATTGAAAAAATAAATAATGAAAAAATTTAAATTCAACTAAAAATAGAAAATAATTAAAAAAAAAATTAATTAAAAATAGTGTAAGAAAAAATGATTTTATTTTAAAAAATAAGCGTGGGGTGCATGGTATTAGTAGTTATAAATATTTTACGAACAGAAATGAGTAGAAGGATTATTCTGATAATATCCTGAAGAGCACCCCACGCTTTTTTTACAATAAAATCATGTTTTCTTACACTATTTTTAATTCAAATTAATAAAAATTTATTTTCTATTTTCTTAGTTGGATTTTCTATAAAAGCGTGTTTTGTTAATTTTCTTAAACTATTATTTATTTGTCGTCTGGTTTGTGTACGTCTTTTAGTAAGGCATCGAAAATAACGATTGCCGGTCACCCTTCTTGGGGATCAGTTGGGTCCATAGTTACTACAACGCGAATATGATAAAAAAATAGAGAGGACGGTAGTATCCGGGATTATTTGGCTTAAGCCGGATAATAAACAGTAAATAACTGGGAACTAATCACGTACGATCATACAGGAATGACAAACATTCTTATACACGTTTAAATATATACATATATAGACAATAAACACCCAGGCAAAGAGCAATCATCAAATCTGTTCATCACACAATGTTTGTCCGATGTGAGAATCGAACCCACGACCCTTGGCCCGACAGTCAGGGCCGCTAACTACAGCACCACCGAGTCAGTCATAGACTTTCTAACATATTTCTTGCATTCCACAGGCGACTGATGATTACGGCAACGGTCAAATGACGGTGGTCTCGCTTCAGATATCATTAATTGATGCGAACGACAATGCACCTGTATTTGTGACGCCGGTCTACAAGGCGTCTATTGATGAAGACGCTGTTAAATTCGAACCAGAATTACAGGTATGTGGCGGTAGCGAAAAATGCCCCTAATAGGGCTGCCAATTGGGACGGTTCAGAAAAGGAGAGAGAGAGAGAAAGAGAGAGAGATTCTTTATTATACACAAAATGAATTACAATGCGAAACATTAAATACAAAAAAGAGTAGAATTCGATCTTATCGCTAAAAGCGATCTCTTCCGGATGGATAACCATCAGGTTAACAAAAATAATCTGGAAAATAATTTCATGCAGTGTACCTATCGATTGAAATCTATATAAACACACATTCATACATAAAAATACATATATACACATACATACACCAATAACATACACATAATATATGTACATGTTGTCCACTGCTAGAATTAGGTCTCTCCTAATGTATGCTACTCAGCTTTCTCACTTTTGGAAAAGCATCGCTCAAACTTTCGTTTTTTTTTTCACCTGGCTCAACGTCGTCTTATATTATTTTTGGTTGTACTTATTAAAGAAATTAAAAAAACATACCGGAAAGTGCAGCGTGTATAAGTTGGACAGGTGACCTGCTAAAGGAATGAATCGATTAAAGTAAGAACTGGTAATTAGCTTAGTATAATAATATTTACCTATTTATATACGTCATTTCGGATCCACCCGATCCACTAACGGTGCTTTTAGGTACCCCAAGCACCGATCACCGTCGTCGCCGAACCCGTCGCTTGCGGTGAAGGGCTCGGCGAGTGAATTAACCCATGTGACACCCCGAATTAACCCCAAGTGACACAGCCCATTGAGTTTCTCGCCAGATCTTCTCAGTGGGTCGCATTTCCGATCCGGTGGTAAATTCTGCGAAGCACTGCTCTTATTAAAACTAGTGTTAGCAACCTCATCAGGTTTAAGCCCCGTGAGCTTACCTATTCGCTCGGTTATGCTGGTATAGTATCTCAAGGCTACCAGCTTAGGTAAGAAAGATATCTATTTATACCTGAGTCGTGTATATTCGACAGGTTCTAGCTCGCGATGTCGACGTGTCATCAGACATACGCTACTCTATCGTGGGTCCGGCGACGCATCCGTTCTGGATCGATCCAGCCACCGGGAAGATCACAGTCAACCCCGAGTCCGGGAGAGTGGCAGCGGTGGATGACTCCAACAAGATAATACTCACTGTATTGGTCAGTATTGCTAGAATGTGTCTAGACTTTAAATTTTTAATTAATTAATTCAAAATATAATTGAAATTACTTGTCTATATATTAATACATGAAGTAAAAACTTTGCGCGGACTGAGGAGTATGAAAATTCCCACACGTATAGAGAATATAATGGAGTGCAGAATGTTATTTTTTTTTAATTATGCATTAAATTACATTAAATCAATAATAAAACATTACTTAAACTACCATGTATTTGACACAGCACATAATTATATATATACTTATGTGTTTATTGCCAAACTTTTATTATTGTTTAAAGTCTGTGGGCAAAATGAGAATAGGTTAATATTGATTGTCTTTATTTATTTTTTTGTCAACAGTGTAGTCTTGGCGAAATCTATGATTAGAAGTGTAATAAATACTCGTAGTCTTTGACATCAGAACCATAATAATGTTCAAACTTATTTCTTCTTCTTTCTTATCAGCCCGCAGACGTCCACTGCTGGACATAGGCCTCCCCAAGCCTAAAAAATTAAAAACTTATAATTTAAACTTCGACCACTAACGGACCACTACTATGTTAAAATTACTGTACAGTTAAGTTTAGATTAAAAAGTATTTTTAGACTTTCAACACAGAACAAATTAATTATTAGTGCCTTTAGATTTTTGATTATATACAACTGATTTGTCCCTGATACTTTATTAGTGTCCTGAGATATCAATCGAAGATTTTTATAAAATTAACACTGGCACAAGAAAATAATTGCCATACTTAAAAAAAAAAAACGTTTTTTTTTTTTTTTTTTCCAGGGCACAGATGGCGTTCACAACGCAACCTGTAAAGTGGAGATTTCTATTCGCGACGTGAACAACCACGCGCCTGAGTTTGACACTCACAAATATGACGCTAATATCTTCGAAGATGCACCTATAGGTTTGTGAGACCTGGTTTTTACTGTTGGTAGAACCTCTTGTGAATCCGCACGGGTAGGTACCACCACCCTGCCTATTTTTACCGTGAAGCAGTAATGCGGTTCGGTTTGAAGGACGGGGCAGCCGTTGTAACTATACTGAGACCTTAGAACTTACATCTTTTTTGATTTTTTTATTGCTTAGATAGGTGGACGAGCTTACAGCCCACCTGGTGTTAAGTGGTTACTGGAGCCTTTAGACATCTACAACGTAAATGCTGCCACCCACCTTAAGACATGAGTTGTAAGGTCTCAGTATATTTACAACGGTTGCCCGGGTGGTACCTACCCGCGCGAACTAATAAGACAAAAGTCAAACACCACTAACGACTTTAATTAGTTAAATCATCAACATATTTTGTCTTAAAATATGTCAATACTATATAGACTGATTAGCTTTTTTTTCCTGCCTAAGCTGATAGCCTTGAGAGGCTATTTCAGCGTAACCTTAACTAGTAGGTGAGCTCACGGGGCTCAAACCTGACGGAGTTGCTAACACTGACCCTAGCAAGAGCAGTGCTTCGCAGAATCTACCACCGGATCGGAAACGCGACCCACTGAGAAGTGATTAGCAACATCGCATCTGCTTTATATAAATTGAGGCATATTTCCCATCAGGTACGGAGGTCGCCGCGGTGCGTGCCACAGACTTGGATACAGGGATAAACGCTGAGATCAAATATGCCATACAGAAGGGAGCACTGGACGCTTTTGCCATTGACAATGTCACCGGGGTAGTGACGGTCGCGTCCGGTCTAGACTACGACAAGAGGAACACATACACGATCCAGATCACCGCCACTGATCTCGGTAAGTGTTCTTGATGACCATGGGCACTGACATTCTAATTTACAACCAGCCAGGTACATGTTCATTTCACGTGTTCCTCAATTAACAGGTTGTGTTAAAAACCAATTAAAAAAATATACTAATGCTTGTCCAAGAATGAATTCCACCACGAAGCAGAAGTAAAATTGAAAGAAGTGAAACATTATGGAATATAAAACTACCGTCTATTGATCTTAAATAACATTCAGAGTGTTCTACGGAAGAGATCGATGGTAGTTATCTATTCAGATAAAAGAAAGTCTATGTGTGTTTGTTTGTTCGATTAAAATTTAAGAACCGTTAGCTCGAATGAAACTTTGTACCCATATACCAGGAAATGTGACAATAACACTCTGACAAACATAGTTAGTGCCGGATAGATGATGCTGATTTTAGTGATTATTTTCTTTTGAACCATAGGTCGCATTGATATGAAATCTATATCGACGCTTGAAAGGCAAACGTGACTAAGCGACAATGCGTGAACTTTACAGTAGACTAATTTAAAGTTGAAATACCTGAAAACAAAATTTATTTTAACGAATCTAGCTGTAGGATTGAAATGATTTTAGTAGACCTAGAAATATATTTTTTTTGCGCATCGAATATTGTTATTGCCTATCATTTATGTATAAAGCAGTTATTATAGCTTAGTCACGTTTGCCTTTCAAGCGTCGACATGTTAGGAGTGAAGCCACGCGTATATTGTTGATGCGATAAATTGTCGTCCCCCAAACAGGCGTACCGAGCTTGACCGGGACCACTGAGCTGCTGGTGCACGTCGTGAACGTTAACGACAAGAAGCCGCAGTTCGCGCCTCCCGTGCAGAGGGCGGAGGTGTCCGCGGACGCGGGCCCCGGCGCCAGGGTGCACGACCTGACGGCATTCGACCCTGAGATCGAGGACGTCGACCGGCTCCTCTACGAACTGGCCGCCGACAGAATGATCAAGGCAGTCGATAAAAACGGTAAAGAGGTGAGATGACATACATTAGATAAATTTGAAATACCTATGGCACAAAATTACTGTTAGTTCGGGATAAATAAAATTCTATCGATTTACAACTAATCACTGTAGTGTGAATACATTCAACCCTTAGAACACTTAAACACTTCACAAACACTTTAAAACTTTCAGTTCGCTTGTTCCGCTTCGCTTCATGTGATCCGATCGCTGTTTCGCTTCGAGTAGTTCCGATTACTGACTGACTAAAAACATAATTTCTATGTCGTTCCGATCGGATAGTAGATTCAACGAAGCGGCTCTTGCTAAGGCTAGTGTTGGCAAACTGTCTCTGTTTTAACCCGTGAGCTCATCTACCATACTGTGAGTAGCTGGAATTGCCCTGTATGCTACCAGTGATTAAGAAGGAATATAAGGATATAGAAAGATCCCTTATTGGTTTTATTACTGGTTGCCTATTATTTTGTTTATCACACACCCTCACAATGCTTAATCATCATTATCCTGCCCTTCTCCTATTCACTCGGGGTCGGCGCAACATGTTTTCTCCTTCCATACTCCTCTATCGTACACCATTTATTCGCTCACTCCCCTCTTACAAATATTGTCTTTCACACTGGAATGCTCAATGCGGACTTATTAATTCAACTATAACCATATATTTACCAGGTATCTGAAGAAGGAATATTCGATCAATGGATGTCAGTATTACCGAACGGCACAGTGGTGGTGGCACAGAAGCTGGACCGGTCCAGGGCGGCCGTGCTCAGCCTCCCGGTCAGGGTCACGGATACTTCTGCTCCCGCGTTACAACAAGCTGACGGTATGCAATACAGTCGATTGTATAAACGTCTAGATATCTCTACGGTTCTTTCAGAGCGCTATGTCACGTCTTTCCTCAAAAATGAAGGAAATCCTTAGCGATGGAGTGTCTGCTGTCTCCGGTATAGCCAATATGAGCGACTGTGACCACTATTGATTGAAAATTCTTTATTGCACAAAAACACTGTAGAAAGGCGACTTTTACTAGTGGTAGGACCTCTTGTCAGTCCGCGCGGGTGAGTACCACCCGCCTATTTCTGCCGTGAAGCAGTAATGTGTTTCGGTTTGAAGGGTGAGGCAGCCGTTGTAACTATACTTGAGACCTTAGAACTTATATCTCAAGGTGGGTGGCGCATTTACGTTGTGGATGTCTATGGGCTCCAGTAACCACTTAACACCAGGTGGTGGGCTGTAAGCTCGTCCACCCATTTAAGCAATAAAAAAAGGCGAACGTAGCGCCATAGAAAATAATCATCAGGTGATCCGTATGCGGCCTACTCATGTAATTAGATTCGAAGCGGCGGGTGCATTAAGAGCCGCTCGGAACGCTAGCTCACTCTAGCAGAGCTATATGAAAGAGTGACCAATCAGTGGTATATTGCATCCCACCCAGCAGGCTGTATCTGGTCTGGGTGGGATCAGCGACAGTGCGTTTCCTAAGATCTTTTTTTGCCACACACCATCCGACTTTGGAATGAACTCCCCTCCACGGTGTTTTCCGAGCGCTACGACATGTCCTTCTTCAAACGAGGCTTGCGGAGAGTACTTAATGGTAGGCAGCGGCTTGGCTCTGCCCCTGGCATTGCTGACGTTCTTGAGCGACGGTGACCACTTACCATTAGGTGGGCTGTATGCTCGTCTGCCTACAAAGGCAATGAAAAAAATGGGCTATCTGTCACGTAAACCTTTGATGAACTTTGTGTGGAGCCATCGTCTGGACCTTTGGTATCTTGGACCTAAAATATGCGCCCAGTCTAAAGCCACGTCTGACTGCCAAGTCAGAGTACTATCAAAACACAAAAGTCCTAACTTAAAGACATTACTTTATTATATCCAACAGGGGAATTAATAATAACCATAGTGGATGTAAATCGTTACGCTCCGGTGTTCTCCCAGCCGTCGTATTTGCAAAGCATGGTGGAGGAGCAGCCCGTGGGCACAGTGCTCGAGACGTTCACGGCTACCGATCGTGAAACTCCAATTTCTGCGATCATCATCCACCCACCGAACCCGTATTTCGAGATCGACAATCGTACAGGTAAACTCTATACTAATCTATATACACTACCGTCCAAAAAGTTTGGAATCACAGTTTATTTTATATGTTTAATAAAGAACAACGCCGCTGATGTATTTAAAATAGATTAGAAAACATTTTAAGTTAATTCATAAAAAAAACACAATACAAGTTCAAGTTTTAATTAGTTCCTTAATTTTTTTATCTATATGTACACATTTTTTAAGTATTGATACTTTTTGGCGGGAACGCGAGAAGTTATGTTGTGTGATTTGTTTTATTTTGTCTCTTTAGTGTTTCTTCAGGTTTAAATGTGTAATAACGGTGGTTTATTAACTGTTTAATATCTGTGAAAGTGCAGCAATGTAGGAAAATGAAACAAAGCCGCTGGACGTAACTTCTTGGGATCCTCCAAAAAGTCCACTGAAAAAATCTCAGTAAATGACCACCATTTTACTGAGATCCCATATAATTTCATTTAATTTCATTCCAGTTGATTAATGTCTCAAATTAATCATCTTCATTTCATTTCACTCCATATTATCATTTTTCATAAAAATAAGAATATAAATTAAAATAAGACATGACCTAAAGGTCCAGGTCATAAAATCCCTTAAAAAAATTATGTGAAGTAATTTCTGGTAATTCCTTAACAGGGCTAGTGAAGTCGACCCAGAAGATAGACTACGAGAAGGTCCACAGCATTAACTTCACGCTGATAGCGTTCGACTCTGGGGTGCCGCAGCTGACCACCACGGCCGGCGTCACCGTGGAGATACTCAACGCCAACGATGAAGACCCACTGTTCGACACTGAGGGGTACGAAGCTGAAGTTCTGGAACATTCCGAGGCCGGTACCGAAGTCGTGACAGTTCACGCCTCCGATAAAGATGAGGGTTAGTATTAAACGTGACGATTTACGTAATTCGACGCTTGAAAGACAAACGTGGCTAAGCGACAATCCGTGAACTTTACCGCAGACTAATTTAAAGTTGGAATATCTGAAAAAAATTATATTTGAACGAATCTAGCTATAGGATTGAAATGCTTTTAATAGACCTAGAAATATATTTTTTTTGCGCATCGAATATTCGCCTCGATTTGCCGATTTTAATTGAATTGCCTATCATTTACGTACAAAGCAGTTATTGACGCTTAGTCACGTTTGCCTTTCAAGCGTCGAATTATCTTTTTTATTGCTTAAATGTGTGGACGAGATGCCGCCTCTTACCTTTAGATATGAGTTCTTAGGTCTCAGTTTTTAGATGACAACGACTGCCCCACCCTTCAAATCGAAATTGCTTCACGGCAGAAATAGGCAGGGTGATTGTACTTACCCGTGCGAACTCGCAACACGTCCTACCACCAGTTATTACGTAAATTATAATTTTACAGCTTTGATTTTTATTACTCGATGTTATTTCTTCACCGTGGGAGTCAATCGTGAACATTTGCTAAGTACGTATTTCATTAGAAATATTGGTACCCGCCTGAGATTCGAACACCGGTGCATCGCTCAACACGAATACATCGGACGTCTTATCCTTTTGACCACGACGACTTAAATGACGATTAATGACCTTTGATTATAAAATCGAAGACTTAACTTACTAAGTGTTATGAATACCATACAAATATGAAAACGAATCTTAACATGATTAATGTTTTTTTTTCCCACAGGTGAGTACGGTGAAGTCCGGTACAGCCTCTCCGGTGACATGTCTCTGTTCACCATCGATCCGATATCGGGGGTGGTGACCATTGCTCCCGGCGCCGACATCGACCGCGAAGCCGTCACCGAGATATGGATGAGGGCGGTAGCATCTGACAACGCCCCTCAGCATCTGAAGAGAAGTACCAGTGTACCGGTGGGTGTTGATGACCTTCCAATATTTTTTATTTATTTGGGTAACAACCAACAGTACAAAACAAACATATAATATTTAATATAGGTATGTATATAAAAATGAATTGCTGTTCCTTAGTCTCGCTAAAACTCGAGAACAGCTGGACCGAATTGACTAATTTTGGTCTTGAATTATTCGTGGAAGTCCAGAGAAGGTTTATAAGGTAGATTAATATGAAAATTCGCAGAAATAAATAAAAATACCAATTTTGTTTTTCCTTTGATGTGTCCTCTGTCGGACGCATTCCTTTTTTTTGTTTTAATTTTATTTTATACAAAAGTTTAGGTCTTTTATTTATCGATTGAGGGACTACGAAGTATGCCGGGTCATTTAAAAAAAAATGCTAAAACAATAATCAAACATGTTCCCACGATCAAAATCATATATAAATAGAGAGTGAACAAACGAAAAAAAAAGAGAAATTTAGAAATTTAGCAGTAATGCGTTTCGGCTTGAAGGACGGGGACTCATATCTCAAAGTGGGAGGCGGCAGTTACGTTGTAGATGTCTATGGACTCCAGTAAACACATTACAGTAGGTGGGCCATGAACTCGTTCGCCCATCAAAGCAATAAAAAAATGAATCTGTAAATAAAACATAAAGCAATTTTTCAGTTGCACGTGAAAGTGCTGGACATAAATGATCATGCGCCGGTCTTCAGTCAGAAAGTGTACAAGAGTACAATCGCGGAGAATCTGCAACTGGACCCCCCGGCCGCCATACTCCAGGTCATAGCCGAGGACAAGGACGAAGGAGTCAATGGGAAAGTGGAGTTTAAGATCATTGAACAGAGCGAACCGGGTGAGGAGAATTTAAGGGTATTTTGGCGCCTATAGTAGAATTATTTTGTCCGTGCAGTTTGGGTCATAAAAAATCGGAGCGGTGAAGCTATTATTTCGCTCTCTCTTCCACTCACGAGCCTTATGGACGGGCATAGTGATGCGCATTATTGTTGCGCATTATTGTTGTCGGTAAGCGTTATCGATAGTGTATTTCGTTTTGTCATTTTGTGGGTTAGTGATGAAAATGAAAGAAAAAATCACTAATCGAACACTTACACCAAACATCGCCGCAGCAAGTTAACGAGAACGGCAGAAATTAACACTTTGTAACTTTTCGGGACCTATTCTTATTTCAGTGAAAATTTTTAACACATTGTTGATAACAACACGTGCAAATATTATTTTGAATAAATTCTGCCGTTTTGATACAAAACAAAGGAGTAGCCATTGTGTCACTAAAGAAATTCAGAGAACGAATGCAAAAAAACACATTTCTCTTCGACATAATGTACCATAATTTGCAGATAAGTACAAATAACTCTTAACATAACAATGTCTCTCACCACCCTTCGTATCCCACCCCGCCGCTGTGTACCTGCCTTCGATGTCTCATTTGTTTTTATCGATAATGCTCACCGCCCTAGCTGGGCTATGTTTTATGACCCAAACTGCACGGATAAAATAATTCTACTATAGATCGTTTTGGTTACTTAGCCTGGGTTGGGCTCCCAGAAACTGTATAAAGAATGATATACACTGTATATAACGTACAGACAAATAACATGGAAACCTGTTCGTCAGACGAATGTTTGCACGAAGTAAGAATAGAGCCCACGACGACCTTCGATCCAACAATTAGGGTCACCGATTACTGCAACACTAATTAAGTCGTAAAATCTCCATAACGGGGTGATCTTGTTATTTTGACATATCAAGTTTTTATTATTATTATCCCTGTAGGCATACGAGTATACGGCCCACCTGATGGTGAGTGGTTACCGTCGCCCATGGACGATCCCATTCCATACAAATATGAGATAACTTTTACGCTATCGAAAACGTTAAAAAACTCGGACTAAACACACTGATGTGATAGTAACTTTGGAATGAGCTCCCCTCCACGGTGTTTCCCGAGCGCTATGAAATGTCCTTCTTCAAACGAGGCTTGTGGAGAGTACTTAACGGTAGGCAGCGGCTTTGGCTCTGCCCCTGGCATTGCTGAAGTCCATGGGCGACGGTAACCACTCCACATCAGGTGGGCCGTATGCTCGTCTGCCTATAAGAACAATAAAAAAAAACTAAGCATACAGATGTTTAAACGGAATATGTAATTTGTTCGCGCAGGCACGTTCACGGTGGACCCGGTGAGTGGTATCATCTACCCAGCGAGAGCGGTGGAGGGCAACAGGACCTACCAGCTGGTGGTGCGCGGCGCGGACGGCGCGGGGCCCGCCGCCCTCAGCGACACGGCGCGCGTGGACATCACCGTGCGCAGCCTCAACACGCACGCCCCGCTGTTCGTGCAGCCCCCGCCCGGCCAGAGCACCATTGAGATACCAGAGGCAAATATATATTTTTTTTTTGCTTAGCTTTGTGTGTAGAGAATATGGAACGTCTGATGGTCACTGGAAAAGTAGAAGGAAAACGTCCTAGAGGCCGGAACCCCAAACGTTAGTCCGACCAGATCTCCGAGCAAACCAGCGGACCACTTAGCGCTGCACTACACCAGGCAACTGACCGGAACCGATGGAGGCTGGCAGTCGACAAACTGAAACGGAGTCACGATCCTCAGCAATGAGGGAGTGATGGAGAAGAAGCTTTGTGGACGAGCTCACAGCCCACCTTGTGCTAAGTGATTACTGAAGCCCATAGACATCTACAACGTAAATGCCGCCGCTCACCTTGAGAAATAAGTTCTAAGGTCTCAGTATAGTTACAACGGCTGCCCCATCCTTCAAACCGAAACGCATTACTGCTTCACGACAGAAATAGGCAGGGTAGTGCACACCCGTGCGGACTCACAAGAGGTCCTACCACCAGTGTCTACAATACGATATTGAAAACAAATGACGCGTTTATTTTATCACTTATATTAATATGATTTTTATAAAAAAAAACCTAGTAACTGTTTATTATCTTCCACAGAACGCAGCACAAGCAGATTTCCTAATAACGACAATCAAAGCTACGGACGATGACAGCGGAGAAAACGGGCGAATCTCCTACTACCTGAAGGTGGATAATCAGAACGTTGGCGAAACCGAAGAGTTCAGTCTGGACCGGGACACCGGTGAACTTAGGACTAAGACGTTCTTGGACCGCGAAGAAGTCCCTGAATATCAGGTCAGCTACCGATCGATGAACTTACCATGATTCGGACATTTGGCTCACTAAGTCTATGCTCATAAACGAATCTTATATCGAGGGATGAAAGGCTATTTGGTTTAAGTGATATTTCGTTTAATACGCAGCGTTTATCTTTGTAATTACAGGTCCGTTTTATTTGGTATTAGCATCAACAGTTCGATGTTCTTTATTGAACTTCAATTATAATAACCGGCAAACTTCTTGAGCATTTGTTGACGTAGTGGGGGTAAGTTTGCGCATGGTACACTCACGTGCAAAAACATTACTTACTCTGCGTCATAATGCTATTAAATTATTAAAATCAACATATGTATTTATTTATATATTTATTAGAACATCAACAAAACATATAGGTTAATAATTGTAATAATTTAATCTTGGGGTAAAATAGATATTCCTTCTATTAAGTCAAAACTAGAGCTGTTGCCAGGTCTTGGTTCAGTTAAAGCGAAGCTGGTATTTGTAATTTTTTTTTCGTTATCATAATCTTGACCATCATCATCATCACTGTTTTCATCACCCGAGTCGCTATCATCGTGATGAGTCGACATAGGGCTCATCGGCGTAGTTTACAACTCGGTCGATTCGGTCTTCTTTTTTGTCTATAATTAATTATTTTTTGAAGATATTCGATTCGTAGTAATCGAATGTTACTTTTTTCATTTACCAGCTTCCGATTATTTTCTGTTCTTTTTTTCCATCTGAAGCCTAGCTCTTTCATAATTCGTCGTAAGCTTCATTCCGAGCCATTAAAATTTATATCTTCTTTAAATTTTTCGAAGCCTTTCTACGGTACGGAGTTTCGCTGCTTGTTATGTAGTTATTATGATTACATCTTTTTATTACAGATTGAACGAAACTATCCATTCCGGTAACTTTCTTCTTCCCTGATCTTTTCTTACCCGGAGTCCGAAACACGGCGAGCAAGCCAGAGCCTTTAGCTTCGTTAATAATGCACCTAACAGTACTCACTGATGTTTTTGTTGCTTCCGAAGTCTGTTTTAATTTTTCCATATCATTCTTCCCCTGTTTTATAATGAAGCAATATACGTCGTACACAAATTTTCTACCCTTTCTTTTAAGTACTACACCAGTTTGTCATGGCATAGTGTATGTTTTATAAAAAATCAACAAACACTCAACAAATAGCAATGGCAACAAAGTCCACAAGCAATTATAACAAATAACTTAACGATTAATAACGATAGACTTTCCACTGTACGCAAGCGTACTTTTGGGAGCAAGCGGAATGAGGGTGCGGTGCGGGACGCAAGGTTCGACTGATCTACCAATAACGCGCTCGATACGATTTCCCCTGCCGTCGCGCCTCACCCTCACCACCAAAGTGACCTAAAATTCGGTTCTGCGCAGTCAAGGTCATTTGCTCAAGAAGTTTGCCGATTACTATAAGCTTACTCGATTCGAATAGCTAAAGAAGTTTTTTGAAGTGAAACTTCTTTAGAATCGTTGTGATGTGATTTCAAACTTGATGAAACGAAATGAAACGAAACGAAAAAATAAGTGTGCCGCGATTGGCTTGCCGAAGCGGCTCCGAGCGGCGCCGACAAGTCACGAAGCGCTCCACACGGTCTCGCGTCCCCGACTAGTTTAGTGTGTTTTTGTCATTCGTGCACGCTGTCGTGGCTCTCGGAGCGCCCTGAGATACTGTAATTTCTATTTAGTTTTTTATCAACGGACGTCGCTTCACGTTAATTCAATATTCAAATAAAACAATTCCTGAATCGCGGCGACTAGATGGTACACAGATGATAGACATTTTTTTTTAAAGTTTCACTTCTGCCATGTGTGACTTGCCCACACAAACTTTTTTTTTTATATGATTTTTATACAAATTTTAAACTTGAAATGGCTCTCCTGTAAAGTTGTAAAATTTCGCTTAAGTCAAATTTAGCCTTTCACGATATGTCTATTGTCTAGGTGAGAAGTATAAATTCATTATTTATAAATAAAGGACTAGACGTTATTATGAAATGAAATGAAATGAAATGCGTTTATTTCAGGCAACATAAGCTCATAAAACTTCACATACAATTACATATATACTTCTACTACTTCTACTTCTGCTTACTACTACTTATTGTAATAGATTATTACAATAATTTTCTATTTTTTAGTTGGGTTTTCTACAAAAGCGTATTTTGATTTTTTTAAAGCTATTATTTATTATTACCCTACACCATTACTACATCGTGTGGTTCGTAGCTGTTTTGTGCGTTTTATAAATTGGCTAATAACCCTCGGTGAGCATCCGTGAGCGTTTGTGTAACGGCTGCCGTCCGCAGCTGGCGATAGCGGCCATATTTGTAGCCGTCTTGTGCGTTTCATAAATTAAATAATAACCTTCGGTGAGCACCCGTGAGCGTTTGTGTAACGGTTGCCGTCCGAAGCTGGCAATAGCGGCCGTATTCGTAGCTGTCTTGTGCGTTTTATAAATTCACTAATAACCTTCGGTGAGCGTTTGTGTAACGGTTACCGTCCGCAGCTGGCAATAGCGGCCATATTCGTAGCCGTCTTGTGTGTTCCCTTAATTCGCTAATAACCCTCGGTGAGCACCCGTAAGCATGTGTGTAACGGTTGCCGTCTGCAGCTGGCGATAGCGGCCGTGTTCGTAGCCGTCTTGTGCATTTCATAAATTCGCTGATAACCCTCGGTGAGCACCCGTAAGCGTTTGTGTAACGGTTGTCGTCCGCAGCTGGCGATAGCGTCCGTGTTCGTAGCCGTCTGGTTCGTTTCATAAATTCGTTATTAACCCTCGGTGAGCACCCGTGAGCGTTTGTGTAACGGTTACCGTCCGCAGCTGGCGATAGCGGCTGTCGACAACGGGAGCCCGGCGCAATTCGAAACTCTTCGACTCCTGACCGTCGTGCTGGCTGACGAGGACGACAACACTCCTGAGTTCTCCCAACGCAGCTACGTGTTCAACATCAAGGAGAACCTGCCTCCTAACACCATCATCGGTGAGAGCGTCTTACGATTCATCCTTAATATCGTCACACGCTAGGGTTCGGGATGAATAGAAACTTTCACACAAATCTATATATTAATACGTGAAGCAAAAACATTGTACCTATTTTACGAAAATTGCGCGGACGGAGTAGTATGAAATTTCCCACATTTTTTTATAAAGAGAAGAAAATTATGCATAAAAATCAATTAAAAAAAAACATGACATACACTACTATGTATTTGACACACACATACGCATATGTACTTTTTCGTTTATTTTTAAAGTCTGTGGTCAAATTGAGAATAAATAAGGAAGTGTAGTCTTTGACAATAAAACCTTAATAATGTTCAAACTTATAATTTAAATTAATTATGGTCGAATCTCGACTGCTGGGTGACCACTAGTACAAATTAAAACTCTATTTAACTTCTTCCGCTTTTTTTTATTCTTATTGCTGGATGGATGGACGAGCTCACAGCCCACAGCCCACCTGGTATTAAGCGGTTACCGGAGCCCATAGACATCTGCAACGTAAATACCGCCACCCACCTTGAGATATGAGTTCTAAGGTCTCAGTATAGTTACAACGGCTGCACCACCCTTCAAACCGAAACGCATTACTGCTTCACGGCACAAAAAGGTAGGGCGGTGGTACCTAGGTACCCGTGCGGAGTCACAAGGGGTCCTACCACCAGTAACCGCTTCGAGTAGAACTGATTTCACTTCTACCGTCGGTGGGAGGTTAACTTGGGTTTTCATGTATTAAACCCGTGTTCTCTTAACATCAGAAGCATGGTTTTATCTGGTCAATCAACTGATAAGTTACGATTGTTTCAGGCACAGTGAAAGCAGTAGACAAAGACATTGGCGAAAACGGTAAAGTCTACTACCATGTCTTAGAAGGGAAACAAGAAGGAGCTTTCGTGCTGGACAGAACTCAGGGTGTCGTCAGGGCCAAAATTAGCTTTGACAGGTACAGTAATTCTAAGCTTTAATATTTACCTTTTTATCAAATACTTTTTATGTATTTTTTATTGCTTAGATGGGTGGACGATCTCGCAGCCCACCTGGTGTTAAGTGGCTACTGGAGTAGGAGTAGTACATAGACACCTACAACGTAAATACACCACCTACCTTGAGATATAAGTTCTAAGATCTCAGTTTAGTTACAACGGCTGCCCCACCCTTTAAACCGAAACGCATTACTGCTCCACGGTAGAAATAGGCAGGGTGGTGGTACCTGTGAGCTCACAGACTTAACCTGAAAGAACTTACTAACACTAGCCCTAGCACCTAGCACTAAGCCACCAGCTATTAGATAGTGGAAAAAAGTTTCCACTGCTAACAACGTGCATTGTATTTACAGCTTTAATTGCAAGAGCGACGGTTCATTTTCAGAGAGCAGCGCGCCGAATACTCGCTTATCGTGTACGCGAGTAACAACCCAATCTTAGAGCACGCAGCGGACGTGCTCAACTCAATAGACAACGGTACACAGGTCGAGTCCGGCGTGGCGTCATTGAAAATCAACATTCTGGACGAAAACGACAACGAACCAAAATTTCAGAGGAACGTCTACTTCGCCGGTGAGTAGTCGTCGGATATAAATAACTTCGTTTTAATCGTTTAGCAATTAGAAACTAGAATAACATGCTTTAATAACTGGCCCATAAATTATTTAAAATAATTATCATATGATTAATATATTAATACGTGAAGCAAAAACTTTGTATCCCTTTTTACGAAAATTGCACGGACGGAGGAGTATGAGATTTTCCACACTTACAGAGAATATAGAGAAGAAGTGCACAATGCTAATATTTTTTTAAAGTAATGCATAAAAGATACATTAAATCAATAAAGAAAACATTGCACACACTACATACCATGTATTTGACGCACACACGCATGCATACTATTTATTGTCAAACTTTTGTTCTTGACGTGTGTTGTCAAATTGAGAATAGATTAAATATTGTTTGTCTTTATTAATATTTTTTTATAGTGTAGCCTTGACGAAATTTGTGATTTTGGAAGTATAAAATACAATCATAATAGTATACAAACTTACAATTCCAATTAATTATATTCGAATTTCGGCTACTGCGGGACCTCTAGTTTGATTAACTCCATCGAGTTGTGCACCATCGTGCAGTAATATTGTCCTAATTATTGCGTCGACGGTCGTGGATTCGATTCCCGCGTCGGGCAAACATTCGTGTAATGAACAGGTTTATGCGATCTTTACTGGCCTCCATGAGGGACGGAACCGCTCACCGTTAGGTGGGCCGTACGGCATCTGCTTACAAGAGCAATAAAAAAATAACATGTGTGCAATTCACACGTGTTAGAAGTGAAACCATCAAAAATTAAAATACAATTATCCTAAATGTCTAAGTATATTATTAGTAAAATTTTGTCATTAGTAAATAATTGTAAATCACCTTTTATAGTATGAGGTAGCGCCCTCTGTGAATTGATATTTTAACTTCACGTATATCCTAAATTAAAATTCACTACAAGAGGTTTCATACACACGTTAGTATTAAAACATCTCACAGATGGCTCTCTCAATCGGTCTCGATCGCTCTCTCTCTCTCTTTTTCGACACTTCGTTGCATACCTGCGTGACGTTACATCTGTAAAAAATTTACGCTCATGCGCCTAAAGCAGTTTCACTTCAAAAATTGTAATTTATGTCTTCAGGTGTCAAACACACAGCGCGCATCAACGAGCCCATCCTATCGGTCATCGCCGAAGACCCCGACCTGGACGAGAACGGCACCTTGCTGTATATGATAGCCGCTTCGAACCTTTATAAATTTGGAGCTTCGGAGTCCAGTGGGAGCGTCGTACCATCACCGTTTAACATCAGCCAGGATGGTATGACAGTATTTTGGATGCAATAGGTATTTGCACGAGCCCCACCAAAACTTAAGGGACGTGTGACTGTGACAGCGGCCACTTACTCTGGGAAATGAGGTCAAGTCAACAAGGACTGATCGGATTGTAACTGTCGTGACAATAGATAAGGGGGTAGTAACAACACCATCTCTGAAGGCAGAGATTGGTCTAGGCCAGCCTTTCCCAAAGTGGGACAACGCCCCCTTGTGGGCGCAGCAGGCCTAAAATGGGGCGATAAGAGACCCAGAAAAAAATGGGGGCGTTGTGTAGAGGCTTGGAAGGCGATTTGTAATTTCATCTAGGGGGACCCTTAGACATCGACTAAGCTCTCGCTATAGTCATTTTTAAGTAGGCGAAAAAATGGAGGCGCTTAAAATAATTTATTCTCAAAGTGGACAGTAGACAAAATAAGTTGCCTTCGTAGGCAGACTAGCGTACGGCCCACCTGATGATAAGTGGTTACCGTCACCCATGGACTTCAGCACTGCCAGAAGCAGAGCCAAGCCGCTGCCTACCGGGAACCCCTGGTATAGAAGAAAATCAGTTGCACACTACAAGTAGAAGTTACTTTAGATAATATTCAACGGAACTCAATTTACGCTTATCTAAAACTCTTGAAATGATAAAAGATGAGCAACTACAATTTAATAAGCCAAATCAAGTTATATTGACCGGACTGCGAGTTGGTAGGGCGAGAGTCAGAGACCAGAACTTGGCCTTTATAGGAAAATCATGATTTTCATTCAATCGATCCTTTGAGTCAACGATCTGCTTTGAACAGGCTTACTGATGACAGCACACTACATGTCTGAGTACAACCAGGATCGCTTCGTGCTGGACATCATTGCGCAAGAAGTGGCGCCGCCACGCAGACAGGCGAAGACGCAAGTATACGTATGTACACTACTTCTGATTTTCTACACATAACACCACGGTAGTAAGTATAACAACAGGCTCTTTGCGATCCCATCAATCTATATATTAATACGTGAAGCAAAAACTTTGTATCCCTTTTTACGAAAATTACGCGGACGGAGGAGTATGAAATTTCCCACACTTATAGAAAATATAGAGAAGAAGTGCACAATGATTATTAATATTTTTTTTAAATAATGCATAAAAGATACATTAAATCAATAAAGAAAACATTACACACACGTCAAATTGGCGTGACGTCTGTTGTCAAATTGAGAATAGATTAAATATTGTTTGTCTTTGTTAATATTTTTTATTATGTAGTCTTGGCGAAATTTGTGATTATAGAAGTATAACATACAATCATAATAGTGTACAAACTTACAATTCCATTCGAATTTCGACTACTGTGGGACCTCTAGTTTTATTAAACATATATCGTATTTTCGCATCAAAAGTGTACAATTTCCAAAAATATTCGAAATTGAGTTAATATCCGGAATCATTTGGTATCACCAGTATTTTTCTCATTAATACTGTCAAAAGAGTGTAGTTTAGTGTATTTTTTTTAATTTACCTATATTTTGACTACTATTAACAAAATTAATACATAATTTTATATTACTTTAAAAGACAGGTAATGTAACTGGTAAAAAATTAAAATTAAATGTTCCAAAGATGATTAATATTAAAAATATCACATGTTTTAAACCTTTAAAACGCTCTCCTGTAAAATTAGTAAGTTTTGAGATTATACAGTTTTAATGCGAGAAGACGATATGTAAAAATTATATCAAGCGAAAATGACATGAAGTTAATAAATTTGAGACTTTAATAAATTAGGAAGAAGTCAAACGAAACAAGGTGAATTGGGACGAAATAAATTCTCAATGGTGGTTTTTCCCTGATATTTCAGTGAAATTTTTGAAGGAACCCGCAAAGTCAAGTACAGCGGGTTTGGTTTCATTGTTCCACATATGTGCCTCTTGAGGGATTCTTGAGGGATTCAGGGAACAGAAACCACCACTATTACAAATTGAAACCTATATCTCTGGTAAGCAGAGTGAGGGCCAGCTCCAACAGTATCCTTTTTTTTTTTTATGATTGATAGTTTACTGGTGGCCCGAAGGCCTTTCCGGTTTCACCAGGACAGGTGGGCGAGCAAAGGCTCAGCCTAGAGTAGTATCGTGAGCATGATCGCAAGCAGGCTGGACTGTGTATACATGGATCGCTGTGGTGCCATCTCTCATGGGATGTTACGACAGTAATTCATTGTGATGTAAATATAACTACTAACATAGGTCTAAGTCTTATTAACAATTTATATGAGTCATGGTTACTTGCAATAAAAACATTATTATTATTATTATATAGGAACACCTAACAGTAGAACAAACAATTTACACAACTTCACTCTTCGGATTCCCGTCTTAAAGTCCGTCACAACTTTCATATCACTGTTTACTTTAGTTAATTACTTAAAAGCTTTCCGAACCCTGCTTAAACTTAGTCCTTTCCGGGATTTTTGTAACCTTATATCAGGGTTCGTTAATGTACTATATCGGATCTCCTTGTTGGTTGCCTTGCAGGTTTGGGTAATAGATCGTTCGGCTTTAATAAGGATGGTGGTGTCCCGGAGTTGTTCCTCGTCAGTGAGCGGTGTTCAGAAGAGATTGGCTGATGCTGGAGAGGCCCTTCTTGTACCAGGTCGAAAACTGCCTCTCGTTCAGGCCGATAGGAGATACGACGACTGGTAAGGCATTTTTTTTTCTTAGTTGGGTGGACGAGCACACAGCTCACCTGGTGTTAAGTGATTACTGCAGCCCATAGACATCTTCAACGTAAATGCGCCACCCATCTTGAGATATAAGATTCTAAGGTCTCAGTATAGTTACAACGGCTGCCACCTTTCAAACCGAAACGCATTACTGCTTCAGGGCAGAAATAGGCGGGGTGGTGGTACCTACCCGCGCCGACTCACAAAAGGTCCTACCACTAGTAAAAATAGGGACATTTTTGTAGAAGCGAAGCCGCTTTCTCGTCTACCTGTATGTACATACGAAAAAAGTTGCTACTAGGATCCGGTGGTAGATTCAACGAAGCACTGCTCTTGCTAGGGCCAATGTCAGCAACACTCCCGGTTTGAGCCCCGTGAGCTCACCTACACGTTAGGGCGAAGCTGAAACAGCTTGGCTCTGCCCCTGGCATTGCTGAAGTCCATGGGCGACGGTAACCACTCACCATCAGGTGGGCCGTATGCTCATCTGCCTATAAGGGCAATAAAAAAAAAAACCTCAACAGCGATAATACCGCCCACCTTGAGACATGAGTCTAAGTCTCAGTTCTATACTATAGCGTTTACCCTTCAAACCGAAACGCCTTACTAAACTAATTACTACATAAACGCATTAATTACTGTTACTTTCTGAGCAAATAAAATTTATTAGCTATTGCAATATTTTAAACATTATGGTGCTAAAATTATTATTTATAAAAAAAAAATACGAATTATTATAGCTATAATTATTTTGATTTCTCCGTCAGGTGCGAAATTCACCTGCACGCAGTCGATCCAACTACGTACCAAGTGCTTCCCGTCGAGAAAGTTCTGGAGAACATTGACTCTAAGTTCGACGAGCTGAAAGACGTTTATCATGAGTACGGGGTCGAGACTCTCATAGCTGCCAGCGCTATATCCAAAGGTACATTATATATGCACAGTCACGCTTTAAGCGACATTTTTGCAACTTTAACGTAAAGCTCTAAAAGCTTATAAATTGAAAAAAAATTACCTAACAAAAAAACATCTTCACCTATTTGAATAGAGTAAATTTAATTAATATTCAATTAGACGATGTTTCTAATTGAATATTAATTAAATTTACTGCACTGTTGATGCTGATACCAAACAAAACGCGCCTCTAATTACAAAGATAAATGTCGCTTAAGCCAAATACCTTTTACCCCTTGAAATTATTCCAAGTAATTTTGTCCCCAAGTACACCTTTTCACTTTTTTTATATTTATGCCTAGATCATTCTTAGATTAAATACTCCAACTTGAAAAGCACCAACGAAATTAGGAGATTATCATTAAACCCACTAGACGGTAAATACCTAGCTTCTTGTTTGGTTTAAGCTCTGTTAACAAAGTAGCTATTCAGTGTGACATTATAGATCATTTAAATAATTTCTGTTAAATCCTGTCTTTCAGCACCTGATAGCTTCGATCCAGCTTTAGCAGCTTTGATAGCATTACTGATAGTGCTGTTCACTGGAATAGTTACATTTGTTGTGGTATGCGCTTGTCTTAAACATTGGTGAGTATAAGAATATCATCTAACTATGCTTTATTGAATTGTTATGATTTTAAAACAATGCTTATTATTTCTCAAATTGGACTTTGCTTATATTCATGAATGTCAAATTCGATGCGATTTGCTTTTATGGTGAAAAGCTAATACAGTGATGTTGCTGTTTGAGAATTTCAGTTTCATTCATACACAACAAAATCTGTTAAAGCTCTTTAATTAAATCCACATTTCAGAATTTTGTACTCAAATGTCAAAATTGTATAAGTTGAAAAATGATATTTAAATCCAAAATTATTTACTCAAATGAAATTTTCAATATCTTCTACCAGGGTAATATCACCACCATCAATGCAGTCCAGTAAAGGCGACAGTCTTGCCCGGCGGAAAATCCTGGAGGAATTGTCCACGACTGAGAACCCTCTCTGGCTAGAGACGAAGCTAAGGCCATACGAGGAACAAGAGTTGACCATGAATGTCTTCGGAGACCAGAACGAACAGGTCGTTGTGGAACCGGCGCCGGTAAGAAATCTGAACTGTTCCATATGAGAGTCACTCTTCAGTTCACAGAGCTTTTGGAATCAACATTATTTAACTTACGTAGACAAGAAAGGTAGAAGATAGAGAGACGATGGAGAGATGATAGAAAAGTAAAGTAGCAACTAGAGGAGACTTGACATTTTTTTTTTTTTTCTAATATCAATAAAGGTTTAAAGTTCACGTGTAATGATTAACAAAATATAAAAAACATATTATAAATTAAAATGAGATGACGAGCGCTTCCAAAGTCAATTTAATTTAAAAAAGCTTAATCATACTTTAAAAGCTCATAAATATCTTGACCACTACGGTTCTCCGTGAAAACAGCAGATCAACAATACAAGCGCGCTAGCTTCTATAAGCTTTGTTTTAAAAAAAGTTTACTATATTTATAATACATGATGCTGGTATCATTATTTTGTTAATCCTCGCAGACTGACAACACCTACGCAACGATACAAGGCAGCAGGGCGGCAGAGAGGTTCGGTGATTACGCTACTCTAGGAGGCGAGTCTCCAACCCCTCTAGAGACAGCTTTAGGATTTCAGGTAACTGTAATTATTGTTTAATTTTGGTTAACGGCCGATCTTTAAAAGTTTTTTTTTTTTATTGCTTAGATGGGTGGACGATCTCACAACCCACCTGGTGTTAAGTGGTTACTGGAGCCCATAGACATCTACAACGTAGACGCGCCACCCACCTTGAGATACAAGTTTTAAAATCTCAGTATAGTTACAACGGCTACCCCACCCTTCAAACCGAAACGCATTACTGCTTCACGGCAGAAATAGGCAGGGCGGTGGTACCTATCTGCGCGGACTCACAAGTGGTCCTACCACCAGTAATTAGGCAAATTAGAATTTTGCGGGTTTGATTTTTATTACTCGTTGTTATTTCTTCACCGTGGAAGTCAATCGCGAATATTTGTTGAGTACTTATTTCATTAGAAAAATTGGTACCCGCCTGCGGGATTCGAACACCGGCGCATCGCTCAATACGAATGCACCGGACGTGTTATGCGTTAGGCCACGACGACTTCAAAAGTTGATTGTATAGTAGAATAGGTGCCGGTGAAGTAAGGCGAATATTGGCACATGTAATGCTTAACTTCGTCGGTTAACTTAACGGTCGTCTGGTGTAGTGGTAAGTGACATGGTCACTACACAAGGGGGTCGCGGGTCCGAATCTCGCCGAGGGAAAATATTTGTATGATAAATATAAAATGTATTTTTCAGGGTTGTGGATGTATATTAAATATATGTATGTGTATAATAAAAGTATTACATTTATTTCCGTTATCTGGTACCTGTAACACAAGTTCTTTACGAACTTAGCTCGGGAACTGTTAACGTTGCGTGATTGTTTTAAAAAAAAAAACTTGTCTGGTTTCAGGGTAGCACCTTCAAACCGCCATCTCCTGATACTCCGGAGCCGCCTCCGCGTCCCACAGGACTAGGCGTTTTATAATGGTGAATATCTAACTCACATGTTATTCTTCTGTAGCCCAGATATATTTTTACGAGAGCTGTGTGGATCTATGACATGACAGTAATCATTAAGTGGTTGTACGCTTGCGTGAGCCCGCAATGTAATACAAATACATTGCGCGTCAGCCATGACTATTTCTCTAGTCACTACCCACATTTTTACATAAGGTCGAAATCAAATTTGCATATGACGCCTTCGCGCTAGAAATAATCAGCATTATTGTACCTATCCATGCAGGTATCAGTACGCCTAATCACCAGTGAAATCGTTAGTGATTTGTTACCACTGTTATATTTTGGGAAATATTGTCACAACACAATATTGTCACAACACTTAACCTAAATATTTAAGACCTAACAAAGCTACTTTGTATTTATTAACAAAGGCCCACAATTTTCAGTCAGGTCAATGTTATAGCCAAAAGCGACTCCTTACTGATTATGTATCTATGATTATATGTGATTTTGATATCTTCAATACCTCCATTTAATTTGAAATTTTTACACTTATAAAGGTTCCGATGAAGATAAATAGTTTTAATACTCTTGCCTAGAATGGTGACCAGAATCAAGTTGGTTTGTTATATGTTTTATTATTTGTTTCAGATGTATCATTAAAATTAATATGAAAACAAAATAGGAATGTAAATAAACGAACCTATATGCATGTTGACAATGTTTTACAATTTACAATCAATGACGTAATATTTGAAGTAACATATATTGAGATTATTTATATCAAACGCTTTCTACATAGGAAAATAATCTTTATTATTAAGAACTTAATGTTGAATTTAGTTCGCCCGGATCTGGCCTGTATTACATTGACAACGTCCATTAAAATGAATTTCGTGTAAATTTTATATTGGAATTGTACTTTGAATAGATTATCTGAATTACGATGCAATTAGTAAAAAAAAAACGACCTTAAACATTGATGGCTTAAGATTTAAATTTTATGTATTGCCCTTTCCTTTTACTGTTGACATTAAAAAACAAGGCCTTTTCAATAAAGTTCTATTGATAACAGTAGAGAAACAAAGACGATTAATTGACAAACTGGAAAAACATTGGAAATTGTTCTTGCCTTATATGAAAAGAAAAAATGTTTTTCAAAAAAGGTAATGTTTAAATACTCTTCAAAGTATGCCGGTAGGTACACCTAAGCTCTAAAATAAGTCAAATTACCGAATATAACCAGAATTACAGGTCACAACTAGAAAATCTTTACTTAATTGTTGTTTAAATCGCAATATGCGGGTAGACCTTGATTCCGTAACGTTATTACATTAAGCAGACACTAAGCGATCGATGTTGATCTTGTGTCTCTTTCTATAGGTCGATAAGTGACAGGGACATAGTGAGTGTTAGGAAACCGCTTCCAAAAACGATAGTACTAATGACACCTTCGATAATGGAGTTATTTAGACAAATGTTGTAAATAAATATTTGTGGGGTCGCGCGAGTCTGCGCTGCGCCCGTGGGTTCGTTGATCCGAGCATCAGCTGTTTTTGATTTTGTGTTTCATTGCTGGGTTTTTTTTGTAATGTATTTTTTATGATATTATTGTTTCATCTAGCTTATCTATCATGATAGAGCGTAAATAATGCTAATATATACGTTTTAAAAATATGTTTTTTTTTTTATAAATCAGGATCAATTTTTTTACCGTCCCATAATCAAAGGTGTCATTAGTACTATCGTCTGTCTTCGTTTTCAGAAGCGGGCTTCTAACACCCAGTATATTGTCTAGAGCTGTATTTTAAATTATTTATGTGTGTGATTTTTTTAACTAATTTATTATAACGACAATTTAGACTGCAAATTGAATCTCGTGTCAGAACTTAGCCATTTACAGCTAAAAAAAATAGTAGATTTTTGAGATATTTTTTTTTTATCTATGTACTTTTGTTTGTTTAAAACCATAATTATAAGAAAATCTATTTACAAAATTTTGTACAAAATAACGTATTCATTTACAATTAATTTTAATTGTAAGTAATAATAATAATAATGTGATATGTATTTATTTTTATATAATAAAAGTTTTATTAATGTATTCAATATGAAATGGATAAATGTAAAAAACATTGAAGGCACGTCGAGCATATTTCTATCCGTGAATGCCTCCAAAATGAGATACGTACGTTCGATTCTCGGGTAAGGGAAACCGTGATCTAGTGTCATTGAGATGGCGACCTCATGTCTCCGCTAGGATCTGATGATGATCAACTGGTGATCGTCGGAAACCATTTGAGGAGCATGTATGCTCAGTAGCTTGGCATATACGGCCATATAAAAATCATATGGGTACATTTAAGTATACTGATCGGACAGTCTGCTTAGTGAGAGTTTTTGAACGTTCTCGATAGCGTAAAAGTTAACTCAAATTTTATATTATTAATTATATATCGACGCTTGAAAGGCAAACGTGACTAAGCGACAATGCGTGAACTTTACAGTAGACTAATTTAAAGTTGAAATACCTGAAAACAAAATTTATTTTAACGAATCTAGCTGTAGGATTGAAATGATTTTAATAGACCTAGAGATATATTTTTTTTGCGCATCGAATATGGTTATTGCCTATCATTTATGTACAAAGCAGTTATTGTCGCTTAGTCACGTTTGCCTTTCAAGCGTCGATATATATACTATGAGACTGCATTTGGTACTTTGTTTGGTCCCGTTCCAATATGAAACATGAGACAGTCGTTCTAATATTCAATTTGGAACTTCAATTTAGTCTCAAGCTTAGTGGCGACATTCAAATTATGATGCCGACGGACCCCAAATCACTGAGCACTGGATGGACAGAGAGCTATACGAAGAAAAATGAGTAAAAATACCACTATTTATTAAGTAAAATTGTTTTTTGTCTCTGATATTGAGATAATGTATTTTTTTTTACAATCAAACTATGTATTATAGTCAGTAATATTTAAGTTAAATGTATTTGTAAATAATGTGTGTGTTTCTATCTGTCTGTAAGTATACAAAGTATTATTTATGCAATGAAAATATAGTTTTTTAAGTTTGATATTTGTTTTATTGGTAATCCGAAAGCAAGATGTTGTTTCTGAAATCGATTTCTTGGTTAGATTTATTGCAAAACTACCTCGTCCCGGTAGGTATCGCTCTTAAGTGGTCGCGGTCATCAATTCGGCCGTAGCAAATTTTCTAATGAAATAATACCGATTTGACTAATTTTGGTCTTGAATTATTTGTGAAGATATGAAAATGCTCAGAATTAAATAAAAATAACAATTTTGTTTTTCCTTTGATGTTTCCCTCGTAAAGGATAAAGACGTCCGGTGCATTCGTGTTGAGCGATGCACCGGTGTTCGGATCCCAGGCGGGTACAAATTTTTCTAATGAAATACGTACTTAACAAATGTTCACGATTGACTTCCACGGTGAAGGAATAACATTGCGTAGTAACAATCAAACCCGCAAAATTAGTTTGTATAATTACTGATGGTGGGACGTTTTGTGTTTTTTTTTTATTGCCCTTGTATGCAGACTAGCATACGGCCCACCTGATGGTGAGTGGTTACCGCCACCCATGGGCTTCAGCAATGCTAGGGGTAGAGCCAACCCGCTGCCTACCGATAAATCATATTGTGTTGGCACGGGTAAGTACCACCACCCTATCTATTTCTGCGTGAAGCACTAATGCGTTTCGGCTTGAAGGGTGGGGCAGCCGTTGTAGCTATACTGAGACCTTAGAACTCATATCTCAAGGTGGGTTGCGGTATTTACATTGTAGATGTAAGCTCTGGGCTCCGGTAACCATTTAATGAGATAATGAGATTTGCCAAATAGTTATAATTAGTCACAGACAATAATCTTTTTGTCCTCTGTTGAATAGACTAGTGTCCAAACCGCGTTCTCAATGCCCTTTTAATCCGGTTCATTCACATCATCATCATCATCATCAGAATATACTTTTTTAAACTCGAAACCTCAAGGTGGATGGCGCATTTACGCTGTCGATGTCTATGGGCTCCGGTGACCATTTAACATCAGGTGGGCCGTGAGCTCGTCCACCCATATAAGCAATAATTAAAAAAGCTTTACTACACGCTGCCACTCCTCACTAACGACCGCGCTCCGTGCATTATTCACTGCCGCTTTTATCTGGTCAGTCCACCTCATAGGCGATCTTCGTCGTGATCTGTGTGCTTAATGCGAATCTCTTTCTCGATAGCGTAAAAGTTTGTATGCAGTTGGCGCACGTCATTTCGAATCCTCCCGATCAACTAACGGTGCTTTTAGGTACCTCAAGCACCGGTCATCGTTCGCGTCGAACCGCTTGCGACGAAGGGCTCGACGAGTAAATTAACCCTCAGACACAGCCCACTGAGTTTCTCGTCGGATCTTCTCAGTGGGTCGCGTTTCCGATCCGATGGTAGATTCTGCGAAGCACGGCTTTTGCTAGGGTTCGTGTTAGCAACGTCGTCAGGTTTGAGCCCCGTGAGCTCACCTACTAGTTAAAGTTCCGCTGAAATAGCCTCTCAAGGCTATCGGCTTAGGTAGGAAAAAAAAGCAGTTGGAACAGCGCCCCTAGCGGCAAACGTAAGCAAACGCTCCAACTGCATACAAATATGAGTTAACTTTTACGCTATCGAGAACGTTAAAAAACTCGCACTAAACTCACTGGTACCCGCAAGGTCAACGCGCAAGGTAGAGTCAACAAAAACATCAAACTAAATTGTTACACTTTTATTACAAAAATAACATTGTCAATTACATCCCATTTAAATAATATTAAAAACAACAATATTAAATTAATGTTATAATAATATTATGTATAATATGTACATGTGTTTCGTTTTGTTTGGCGATTATTGAGTGTGCTCACAATAGTTAATTTCCAGTTACATCTAATCAGCACTTTGCCAACGGAGTGTCCGTGAGTACTCCTGAATACAGGTTACGCACTACGCGCCCATCATCAAAACGTAAATTCATATCGAGGGGTGAAAGGCGTTTGGTTTAAGTGACATTTTTGCATCTCTACAGGAGAACCTTTTAGAGTTTAAAATTTGGAAAAAATATCATAACAAAAAGAACATTGCTTCATTTTTCAAACATTCTTCGTTTGAATGGAGGAAATATAATTGAATCTCAATTAAAAACATCGAACTGTTGATGGTGATACCAAATAAAACGGACCTTTCTTTACAAACATAAATAACGCGTATTCTTATTTTTTTTTATTGCTTAGATTATTAGACGAGCTCACAGCCCACCTGCTATTAAGTGGTTACTGGAGCCCATACGTAAATGCGCCACCCATCTTGAGTATAAGTTCTAATATCTCAAGTATAGTTACAACGGCTACCCAACCCTTCAAACCGAAACGCATTACTGCTTCACGGCAGAAATAGGCGGGGTGGTGGTACCTACCCATGCAGACTCACAAAAGGTCCTACTACCAGTAAAATGTCGCTTAAACCAAATAGTCTTTCACCCCTGGATATGTTTGACGAGCCCTAACGAATTTAAATATATCTTCCATACAGAAACAGTTACTTGGTCGGTCCGGCCATCAATGCAAAGCCTAAATCGCTCAGGCGACTAATTAAATTACAATCATCCATCCGCCGTAGATGTTTTTTTAGAAATCATATATCAAAAGCGATAATATAAATGTGTACCATCTATCAAATTCACTTATAGAGGCTGCCGTGTTACATACAACTCCTTACAGCAAAATACAATCATAATTCGTCTTCTCGCATTAAAATTGTATAATCTCAAAACTTTCTAATTTTACAGGAGAGTGTTTTAAAGGCTTAACATGTGATATTTTTAATATTAATCATCTTTGCAACTTTTTTTTTTTTGCCATTTACATTATCTGTATTTTAAAGTAAGATAGAATTATGTATTAATTTTGTTATTATTAGTCAAAATATAGGTAAACTAAAAAAAAAACTAAAACTAAACTAACTACGCTCTTTTGACAGTATTTATGAGAAAAATACTGGTGATACCAAATGATTCCGCATATTAACTCAATTTCGAATATTTTTGGAAATTGTACACTTTTAATGCGAAAAGACGAATTATTATCCTCCTTTGGAGCGTCGATGATATCAGGAGACTTAAAATTTGAATATCATATCATATGATATCGTCGAATGTAAGTGACTTAACTATAGAGGGCCACGAAACTTTTAAAACAAATCATATCGACAAAGACCGGATAAATAATAATGTTAATATTTCAATAACCAAGTTATATTATGTTAATGAAAAGTCATATTTATACTGCGAAGTACAGAAAACATTGATTATATATGCGTGGTAATAGATCGATGATATATGCACACAATAATAATACAACTTTTATGTGGTGTGGTAATTTGGAATAGTCACAACTCTTCCGGGATCATGAGAAGCAACTATTGGATACACGGAAAAAAAAATTACAGTAGCTTTCTTTGAGGATGTAGCAGTAGCTATCATATAATACAAGATATTTGACAAATCCTTTAATGGTGCTAACGAAATTTTTCATATTAGTACCGATCGATAACAAACAGTGGAAGATCTCTGGCGTTAGCCCCAAAAGTATTGTATAATATGCGATTTGCTGGAGGTAGGGCGCATTGAGAAGCCACGGGAAGGTGTCACCATCCTACTTATTTGTGAGTTGAAGAGTTGGGCAGTCATATATCAAGGGGGGTGGCGACGTCCAGGTGGCTGTATAAGGTATCCTTGAATCCATAAATTCTGAGAGACCTGCTTAGCGTCTACCTTTTTGGCAAGACACGCGTATTTTGCAGTATTTTTATTTTATTGCTTAGATGGGTGGACAAGCTATTAATTGGTTACCAGAGCCCATAGACATATACAACGTAAACACCGCCACCCATCTTGAGATAATTATATAGATCTCACTGATAGATTATCGGTAAGATGAACACAATTGAAATTACGGAATCCACGATCCTTGGTGTCTGTATGCCATCCGACGTGGCATTTCATTATTAAAACCATAACAGAAACAACAATAATAATAAAATAAATAAATAGAAATATGACTTCTCAACAACATACAAACAATACTATCACAGTTACAGATAATAAATATGCTCTACAATAAAGTTTACGTCAAATATCAACAATGCATTGCTTACTGCAAGTAATATACAAATATAGCTAATTTAATAAATTTCAACAATAAATTAGAATGATTTAATACTGCAATAGTATTTTCTATACAAATAGAAAAGACATTCGTTTCTTCATGTACAACAGATCATCATAACCTTGGGTATGCTTTTAGCTAAATCGTTATACGTATTCTTTTAAGGTTTCTTTTGTGTATGTGTTTTTGTGAAACTGTATACCGAATTAAAGGTAAACTCATTTCGATTTGGAGTTCATATAGAGTCCCTTCTTTATTTCGCCGTAAAGTCGTGTTTTATGTAATTAACACCACAGTTGGAACAATATAAATTTTATTGTTGTAGCGGCATAAACAATTCTAAGTAATTACATTATATTAGTTATATAACACATTATAAATTATTTTTACGTTTTAAATATTTGGCGGTAAAAAGGTCCCGTGTCACAGACTATATTCTTTTTCCCACCTCTCGTGCGTTCCGGCTTACGCATCATAAAAAGGTGCGTTCTTAAACGCCACAAAGGCTTACTCGAATAAAAACAATTTTAATTATCCACTTCTAGATTATAATTTTCAGATCAATTTCATAAAATATCAATCATTCCATATTCGCGCACGTATGACGGAAATCATATCCGACATAATTATTGTTATTTTTACAACATCCGTTAAAGTTTTACGTGATTTATTTAATATTACGAGAAATTTCTACCGTTCGCCTTCGACGAACTAAACAACAATTAATTACACAACAATTATCACACGTAATTAACTAAACAACAAATAACAATTTAGAAATAGGCAGCGGCTTGACTCTGCCCCTGGCATTGCTGACGTCCATGGGCGACGGTAACCACTCACCACCAGGTGGGCCATGTGCTCGTCTGCCTATACGGCAATAAAAAAATAAAGAGAAATTTTAAATTTAAGGACAATTAAAAAAAATCGACGCTGAAAGAATGGCACGATAAACATTTTAAATTAAAATTAAGTTAACTATGCTCCCCAAAAACAATTATTTGAGAATTCAATCCATTAACATCGTTCGTACTTTCCTATATATAAAAAAAATCGTACGCTAGTTTTAACGTTCAATGATTTTCTAGAATGACCAGCGGAGGTTGTATTGTCAAAAGTTTAAATCCATTGACCCCGGGAGACAATTACTTCAAACCCCAGATTTGATTGCCTTGGTTATGGCTCTTGCAGCATGTGTGGGGGATAAAGAGCGAGGTGGAGTGGGATCTGAGCTTCATAGAGCATCAGCACTGATATTTATAGCATCTAAACAGCGATCCTCTTGCAATATCTTAAGTGATTTTGCAACATGATAGCTGTGATATAAGTGCTCTATACCGGCATCTGTTAAAAGACTTCGTGATTAGGAGGCTCACATCCAGAGCCTCGCTTCTCAAGGTCTCGACGTGGCGGTAAATTTAATACACAAGATAGACGCTTACTTGAGGATCCCGCCATAGTCTATCTATCTATATATATAAATATGAATTGCTGCACGCTAGTCTCGCTAAAACTCGAGAACGGCTGGACCGATTTGGCTAACTTTGGTCTTGAATTATTTGTGGAAGTCCAGAGAAGGTTTAAAAGATAGATAAATATGAAAATGCTCGGAATTAAATAAAAATAACAATTTTGTTTTTCATTTGATGTGTCCCCCGTCGGACGGATTCCTTTTGTTTGTTTTAAGTTTATTTTATACAAATGTTTAGGTCCTTTATTTATCGATTGAGGCACTACGATGTCTGCCGGGTCAGCTAGTCTTAGAATAAAAATGATCCCGTATTAAATCCACATTACACCATTTGTAATTTAAAATATTCAAGTTCCAAAAAAAGAGGAATAATGGAGATTCGACTACAAGTCTCTAAGGCACATATAACGTTTCCCTAAACATCAGGTAGAAAAAGATTGTAACTCAAAAGGGCGTAGACGAATTTATACAATACAACCTCAATAAATACGCTTCAACGTCTCAAACACTCGTGGTACTTGTCTACAGCATCGTTGGACCTCTTTATGACTTGTTTGTGAAGGTGGTTGAGTTTTCTTCTTGCATGAAGTACTAAGTCCTTGTAGGAGCGGCGGGAGTGCTGCATGTCCTCCCGGACGCGGTGGATCTCCTCCAGAGCTTGGCGTCTCCAGCGCTTCACTCGAGGTATTGTCTGAGGAGTTGATATTAATTAACCCACCTTGGAGCTCTTAGACGTCTACAACGTAAATGCGCCACCCACCTTGAGATATAAGTTCTCAGGTTCTGAGGTCTCAAGTATAGTTACAACGGCTGCCCCACCCTTCAAACCGAAACGCATTACTGCTTCACGGCAGAAATAGGCAGCGCGGTGGTAACTACCCGCGCGGACTCACAATAAGTCCTATCACCAGTAAAATGGACTAGACGCTATAATGTTACCAATAGTCTGCCATAAATTAGTTTTTTCGTCCAAATCCTGGTCTGCTATCTCCCCACTCAACTACTTAAGTAGGTGGAAATCTGTGCTGCGACAGCAGACGGTCCAGACAAGAAGCCAGCCATTAATGATGTTTAAAATAACAGAACTTTACTGTGGGCTTAATCAGTCCCTCGCCTGGAGACATTAGGTCGAATTCGATTATATTGTATCATATATGCGGCAGAAATAGACAGGATGGGGGTATATTGTTGTAGTTGTAGTCCTAGGGTACCCCGCTGGTACATAGCGGCCCTCACAAGCTGTCTCCATTATGTCTTGCGCTTGTTCTTTAACATCTCTCCAGGTTAGGCTGGCAGTCCTATCTGGCTCTCCATGGTGCGTCTCTCAGGTCGCGACCTGGTCTTCTCCTGCCATCCATTTGGCACTCAAAAGCGATCAATGCTGCTATGGGTTCATTACGAGCTCAGAATACAGCAGTGGCGAAAATTTACAAATGCCTCCATCGTGGAAGTTGTTCGTGAAAGCCATTGTCATGTGCATTTCGCACATCGGTATCTTGAGATCTACATACCGGTATATTCGCATCATTCGATACGAGCAGACCGGCTGCCTTAGTTATTGGGTCACGGTCACTTCCATAAATTTATCTCATGGAGACCCGTGTGAATGGGCCGCTTTGACTGAAGCCGTGGGGCGCGTGCCAACACTTTTAGTTTCAATAAAACGCCATACGCATTATACTACATATAAGAAAAGCTACTGAAGCATTTAATTTTAACTTTGGCAATCTCCTTATTAACACTAATAATAGATCAATTAAAATGTAGTTTTAAGAAAATCGGAAACCGAATGAATATCTAGTGGTAGGGCGATATGGGATCCAGCACGGGTCGGTGGCACTGTCCTACTTCTTGATGCTACGAAGGAGTCGTGCGTTCCAGTTTGAAAGATTGGTATTGACGTTTTAATGTCTATAGACTCTGGTGATAATTCAAGACCAGGTTATTACTGGTGGTAGGACCTCTTGTGAGCCCGCGCGGGTGGGTACCACCACCCTGCCTATTTCTGCCGTGAAGCAGTAATGTGTTTCGGTTTGAAGGGTGGGGCAGCCGTTGTATAGTTATACTTGAGACCTTAGAACTTATATCTCAAGGTGGATGGAGCATTTACTCTGTGGATGTCTATGGGTTCCAGTAACCACTTAACACCAGGTGGGCTGTGAGCTTTTACCCACCCATTTAAGCAATAAAAAATAAAAAAAGGTGTAAAGTCGGCTTATCTGTCCATACATCGCAATAGACTAAAGATTACCTCGCAAGAGATGCCGCAATCTCTCACCGCTTTGGTGCACTTCTTCACCAGAGTTTCACTCTGTAACAAGGAAAATAAGTATTTTATATAAATGCTATAATACCCCCTACTCTCGCCAGGTTATGACCCTGGACAGAGATCGGACGTCGTGTGAAAGAGTGCAGGAAAGTCGTTTAGTGGGCAGGGTCCTTAATTAAATTCCTTGGGCCCATGAAAAAAGAAGGTACGACCGTCCTTCGCATAGAGGCAGCAATTGAGACTTCGACCTCATGACTCAAGGTAAGTGGGTGAAATTATTGTCGTGATGTTGAACCGCAATTATCCTACCACCAAATAAAAACACGTTTGTCTCTGTTCGACTTAACTAGTCCTAAACACTGAGTACCTTATTCAAGTGCATTCTCATCACGATCATGTGACCGAGCAGGAACTTGTGATGGTTCTCGCCGCTGAAGCTGGCCGCGCGGCGGGCGTCATTCTGGATCGTGCGAATGCGGGAATCGAATTTCGATCGACAATTGGAGTTCTGAAATCAAAGTTGTCAAACTAACATTTAAACTATCTGAACTAGATTGTTTTATTATATCCGTCGAAATATAATAGTGTGTTTCGAACATAAAATAACAAGATTTTTTTTTATTGCTTAGGTGTGTGGACGAGCTCACAGCCCACCTGGTGTTAAGTGGTTACTGGAGCTCATAGACATCTACAACGTTAATGTGCCACCCACCTTGAAATATAAGTTCTAAGGTGTCAAGTATAGTTACAACGGCTGTCCCACCCTTCAATCCGAAACGCATTACTGCTTCACGGCAGAAATAGGCGGGGTGGTGGTACCTACCCGTGCGGACTTACAAGAGGTCCTATCACCAGTAAAAGAATATTCTAGACCCGTGCGTAAATGTGTAAATTAAGGGCGTTCTCCAGTCTTCTCGTTTCTGCATACCAACACCGGCCATAGAGACCGCTCTGGATTGAACTTCTGTTAAAGATGTTTTCTCGAAAATAATGACAAGAACTTCTTTAAATAAAGCTTGAAATGAGTGAGAGTGGACAGCGAGATTTGGTTTGTGCAATCTATTTTTATCCCGAAGCCTATCATGTGATTTGAAAAGTTCGATCATACTGAAGGCAATAAAAAATACCATAAATAGATTCCATCTTTACGAGATGTTGACATTTTTTTAAAGAACGGACAGGAACTTATTAATGAAAAAAACTTGATAAGTACTTGTACTCAATAATAGTGTTAAAACCTTACCCAATAATCCTTCCTACGCAGTAAATAATTTAAAAACTTACCCATGCCCTGTCCGTTACAAATGTTACGAATTAATGCCAAAACACCACGCGGTGTTGTGGTACGAATACCACCAGGATGAGTCATTACGAAGCAAATGAACGATGACCAAGCCCTTTATTTAGGCTCAGCTTTGGCAAAGTAGCGCTCGTCGTCACATCCGAAAATAATAATTCATAGAAAACTACATAATAATCGGATAATGTACATAAATTGGCAACATTGCGCGAGCCTCGAGGCTGGTGTGATTATCAAATCGGACAAGGTTGCTAGATCCGCCAAAAAATTTCCACTTTATTTGATTTTCAATTCCAGGAATGCGTTAACTCTTGGTAATGCTTTATGGCCTAGCATAATATGGACATTACTTTATAAGAAATCTTTTTCTCCACCTTATCCCACTAGGTGGGGTCGGCATAGCTAATTTTTCTCTTCTATTCTCTTCTATCAATCGTCATCTCAACACTCACTCCTCTCTCTCTCTCATATAGTCATTCACTCCATTCATGTCTTCATCAGTCGACCTCTTCCCCCTCTACCTTGCACTACCATTTCCATACATCTCCTAGTCACATGCATATTCACTCTACGTCATACCACGCTAACCGTCCGCTCTTTAATTTGTTGATTACCGGGGTATCCTATCTCCAAAATATTGTTACATAAGTTGTATCATCATCTCAGCCTGTCTACTGTCCACTGCTGAACATAGGCCTCTCCAACTGATGTCCAGCGTGGCCGTTCCGCAAGTGGCAATGGACCACTAGGTTGTATCAATACTATTAAATCTATTATTCAAAAGCCGTGATCTAAGCTTTAAAATCCCACAAATATATCATTTTTTTGGCAATCGTAACAAGATAAACTGATTAATTTGCCACCAGGGCCCATTGATATGATAGCGCAAATGTGCCACTGCATAGAGTTGTGAGGTTGGGGTTTGAATGGTTATTGTAAACCGACTGCCCGCTTGTTATGACGGTTTCGGGCTTCGAAGACTACTAAGTATTACATCAGCCATGAAATCGCCTGTACAGTTATGCAATGGGCATGGGATCTGACAATTCGAACCGATTCAGACTGCTGATTAGGTTAAATTTAACGGTTATAATATTCTTCATGATTCGCGGCAGAAATAGACAGGGTGGTGGTATCCCGGGTGGTATCTACGGGCCCGCAATAACCTCATTAATTATGCACATTATTCTTATTTTAATTACACAATTTACTGCTGGTAGAACCCCTTGTGAGTTCGCGCGGGTAGGTACCACCACCCTGCCTATTTCTGCCGTGAAGCAGTAATACGTTTCGGTTTGAAGGGTAGGGCAGCTGTTGTAACTATACTTGAGACCTTATAACTTATATCTCAAGGTGGGTGGTGCATTTACGTTGTAGATGTCTATGGGCTCCAGTAACCACTTAACACCAGGTGGGCTGCGAGCTCGTCCACCCATCTAAGCAATAAAAATAAATAAATAAACTTCACATATCTTCTTACTGTACTTCCGAATTCCTATCCTGGTAACCAGTATAGAGCACCTAGCGGGTATTTAGAGATAGGCACCATCATTACATTTTCTCTGTTAAGCAATCAGGATAGAACAGCGCTTTGACAATTGAGGACTTTTGTGCTCTCTGTTTTGGATTCTCGCGTGTAACGTGCTTTGTGATGTTCGCATTATCCTTTTGAACTACGGTAACCATTTTACACGAGATAGTAAAAAAGCTCCCAACCAATTCCAATAATTGAATATCTCACTATCGTTTATAAGAACATCGCTAATCGTACCGATTCCAAACGTCATCTCAGAGTGAGAGATTGAACTGGCAAATCGCCCGGGTTAGTTACATAACCCAGACGCGGTCTTGAACGGTGTCCAGTGTCAAGGCAACCGAATGCATTTGAGTTGCATATAAACACGTCATTATTGGGGTGTCCATGGATTGGATTTTTTTGGGACAAATCCAGCCTTTCTTCCAACTCGAATGTCAGTTAGCTCCCAAATAAATTACTTTTATTCATCTAGATAGACAGGATCTCACAATTCTAGTATTAATAGGCTGGTGGTAAATACTGCGGGTCCTGATTTTGTGTTGAAGGTTATTAGAGCCGTAATATAATTAATAAAAAATTTGACCATAAATATTACAAGGTGAGTTACATCTACATTACGATTGATTTCTATAGGCTCCGGTAGCAACTTAATACCATATGAGTCGTAACTAGTGTACTCTTTTCCTAAAGCATCCAAATCTAAATATATAAAGTATTTGATTTCGAAGTGGCAGGACTGATTTCAATGAAATTTCCAGGTAATCTCCAAAATGGCCAAACGGGTGATCTTGTGAAGTTTGGAAGCGATCAGGACAAAGTTAAATCAAATATCGGCCAGCAAATCTCTCCGGGTTTGACCAGAGATCAATTTAAAAAAAAAAGGTTCTCATAATAACCTAGTATTATGAAAAATCATGGACACTATATCCATGACGTCGGGCCATTGGCATCAACTCAGCATCCATCAATGCCGGCCATCCGTTACACTGATAAGGTTTGAGATATAGTCGTACTGTTTTAATGTATTAGCACGTAATAATATTCTATATTATGTGTCTCGTACTCATCAAAGCAAGTCTAACTACAATATTCCCTTCACTCAACCCTGGCATCTTTTTTTTTATTGCTTAGATGGTTGGACGAACTCACAGCCCACCTGGTGTTAAGTGGTTACTGGAGCCCATAGACATCTATGACGTAAATGTGCCATCTACCTTGAGATAAAGTGTCTCAAGTATAGTTACAACGGCTGCCCCATCCTTCAAACCGAAACGTATTACTGTTTCACGGCAGAAATAGGCAAGGTGGTGGTACCTAGCCGCGCGGGCTCACAAGAGGTCCTACCACCAGTAAAAGTATAACAGCTATATTTTACTTGTTTACGAATATTAAGCAATGGCGTATCGATCATAATTTCTATAATTAATTAAACATCATTAGCCGCTCGCTAAATCAACGTTATACCGTCAACCGGACGCGCCCCTACGTCATACGACCAAAATCATCAAGTGTTTAGAAACAATATAGGAAAAACATAATATCGTCGGAGTATGTTTTCGCAAATATTTCCCTGAGATATTCTCGTTGTAACAATAATACAATTTTACAATGTAATATTCAAGTTCAATGGTGAATTTGTTTTTAGCTATTTATAAACGGACTTGACTTTGTACTTGTATTACTAAAGGAAATCGTACGAAAGAAAACAATCAAAAGCTTTGATGTTCTTTTGATTGCTTTGTTTGGTTTTTTTTTTTTTCGAATGCATGACAATGTAGTGTCTTAAAAGTGGGCAAAATTTTTAAAAGGGGAATATTTTTATTAGTTATTTATGATTTTTTAGAGTTGTCGTGGCCTAAAGGATAAGACGTCCGGTGCATCCGTATCGAGCGATGCACTGGTGTTCGAATCTCGCTGGCGGGTACCAATTTTTCTAATGAAATACGTACTCAACAAATGTTCACGATTGACTTCCACGGTGAAGGAATAACATTGTGTAATAAAAATCAAACCCGCAAAATTATAATTTGCGTAATTACTGGTAGTAGGACCTCTTGTGAGTCCGCACGGGTAGGTACCACCGCCCCCGCCTATTTCTGCCGTGAAGCAGTAATGCGTTTCGGTTTGAAGGGTGGGGCAGCCGTTGTGACTATACTGAGACCTTAGAACTATATCTCAAGGTGTGTGGCGCATTTACGTTGTAGATGTCTATGGGCTCCAGTAACCACTTAACACCAGGGGGGCTGTGAGCTCGTCCACACATCTAAGCAATAAAAAAAATAAAAAAAAATCGTTAATACATATTTTTATAAATAAAAAGAAAATAAATTTAAAACTGAGCTGGACCTCTATACTTTTTATAACGATAAAAACACTACATACGCTATCCTATTTTCGTCTCTCAGTTAGTTGCATGTGTGAATGTGGACCCCCGATTTCTGTATTTTTATAAACATTTTCGTAATTTTCAGTTCTATTTAGTACCTATATGGATATTTTTTATTATTGTTTTTAAGCTTCTTCGTATTTTTCAGTTTTATTTGGTATATGTATAATATAAATTTATTATAGTTTTTAAGCGAAATAACTGTGACACACGAACATAATATGAATGGCCCCTAATCAATAGAAGCAGTCGCGAAATTTTTCACGGTTTTTAATGGAGTTAATTAGTCAAGTTAATTCCTAAGAGAGAGGGAGAGAGAAAGGGAGAGGTTAAACGCATAGCTTTTTATTTATTGCTTAGATGGTCGGACGAGCTCACAGCCCACCTGGTATTAAGTGGTTACTGGAGCCCATAGACATCTACAACGTTAATGCGCCACTCACCTTGAGATATCGAGTTTAAAAAGGTATATTCTGATGAAGATAATGATGGTGTGAATGAACCGGGTTAAAAGGGCATTGAGAACGCGGCTTGGACACTAGTCTATTCAACAGAGGACAAAAAGATTATTGTCTGTGACTAATTATAACTATTTGGCAAATCTCATTATCTTTACTTTTATGTACTACATTGTTAAACCAAAAACAACAACAAGGGTTTCGCCTTACGCTGTTAAATTTAGAAAAAATAAACTATTTGTCATTTGTCTGCACTTGCAACTATTTATCGTATGACCCGGTAGGACATATTAGCTATCACTCAGGAATTGCTTACTATGACTTTAAAATGCAGGGGTATATAAGGATTTCTGTGCCATCTCTTTCTTTCACTATTGATTCCCATAAAACTAGATGAAAGTAATAAATTCAGTTTCATATGAAGAGAATATCTGGTTAGCGGAATATTGTTCGGTATCTTTCTCGACAGAGACCTGTGGCTCTTCCGCTGTGCTTAGCATTAAAACAGAGACCTCATTGCTGCAGAGACCACATGCACGTGGAAGGTATATTATATGCGATGGTTTTGTCATGTCTCTAAGAGCTCACCGAGAAGGATTACCTCAGAGTTGCCTCATAAGGTCATTTCGTCCATATGACGGCACTCAAGCGGTACTAGAAGCACAAGGAGGTGTGATTTCAAACCTCTTTCCTATATATATATATATATATATATATTTATGTTCATGATTCGAAAAGTTCGCCTTGAAGTACACAAGATAAATTAGTGCTATAAAGTTGCAAGTATAATGAGAAACGAAATTGAATCTATTTCAAAGGCATTCTCGGAAATAGTTGCATAACACAAAGGGATCTAAACGCAACCAAAGATTACCCATTAAGGATATGACGTCATAGTCTTCAAAGAGCCAAAGCCATTACTTGGATATTATTGCCAATACTCGTGTAGTACAGTGGAACTGAATATAGGTAACCTCCATATGATACCGAAGTGCATATTATCATTACGAGCTGCTGTAGACTAGAGATTGAAACATATTACAGCTGCCCACGAACCCATGGTCTACATTCCGATGTTCGCCAACTTTAAACTGCTTTAAAAGAATGTTTTTTTAATTTTTATTGCCGTCACCGTCCGTTCACCTTGACACATGAGCTCTAAGAATCAGTTTTAAAACGGCTGCCCCACTGTTCAAACCGAAACTCATTGCTGCCCCACGGCAGAAATAGGTACGTGGTACTTAACCGTGTGGGCTCACAAAACGCCCTACCACTAGTAAAACCTTATCTGCTTATTGCTGACTCTTTCTCTTAAGACAAAAGTCTATTAAAAAAAAAAGAGATAAAAATTGCTCCACTCACATAATCAGAGGTAATAACATTGTCAGCGTTCCGTATGGCATCATCGGAGTAGGCTGTGACATTCATCAGGAAAGACTTCAGTTCTTCGCCAGCTATGGCCGTGTATTCAGTGAAGAGCAGCAGAGCATCCGCCTTCGCTGACATCAACTCCTCGGTCAGCTCTGGAGTGTACCGCTTCTCTATGTCAGCGTCTTCGTCCAGGGTCTGGTTGCTTTGATCGGTCACGTCCACCCATAGTGAATCCTGAAACGCAAATATTTCTGCTGTATTTCCGTACTCAGTTGAGGGCCTTGTGGTGTTGTGTGGATAGAGGGTATAAGACCAGGCACGGCAGATCACCGTGACCATGGGCCGACCAAATAGAGGCAGCCCTAAAGGGTCCCGTCGACGAGTGCACTAGAAGGGCCGCGGTAATAACAATAACAACAAGGGCTCGTATTTCGTTGTCAAATTTAGAAAAAAATAAACTATTTGTCATTTGTCTACACTAGCAAATTTTCAATCTATATATAAGTATAAAAAAATGAATAGCTGTTCGTTAGTCTCGCTAAAATTCGAGAACGGCTGGACCGATTTGGCTAATTTTGGTCTTAAATTATTCGTGGAAGTCTAGGGAAGGCTTAAAAGGTGAGAAAATACAAAAAAGCTCGGAATTATATAAAAACAAACAATTTTGTTTCCTTTTGATGTGTCCCCTTGATGTGTCTTTTATTTATCGATTGAGGCACTACGAAGTCTGCCGGGTCAGCTAGTCATTACATAAAAATTGGGATAAAATCGAATGAAACGAAATGAGATGAAATACTCAAAACTTAGGTAGACTTTAAGGACGAATCTGACAAGCCTCGACGCCAAACGGTTCAAGTTACCATTGTTAAAATCTGAAGTAGAACTAATAAGTTTTTTTAATCTTTTTTCATTGGCCTTGCACACGAGCGTACGGCTCACCTGATCGTGAGTTGTTACCGTCGCCCATGGACTTTAGCAATGCCAGTGGCAGAGCCAAGCCGCTGCCTACCGTTAAATACTCTCTACAAGCCTCGTTTAAAGAAGGACATGTCATAGCGCTCGGGAAACAATTTAACAATTACGCTGCACGCATTCCCATTAAAATTTTCCCAAGAACATCTGACAATCATTCCAAAAGAGCCAAAACATTTTTTATTAAAACACAAACGAACATATAATGAATATTCCACATCCAATATCTTAAGTCGGGTAACTTTGAGCAATCTGTAGACTCCAATTAACAGGATGACACAGGACCGTCACCAAAAAAATACATTTACAATCACAATTCAACAAATATTATTCGCCCATACCTAAGGGATATATTCAGACCGTGTAACACAAAAACGCTATAACCACGTGTATATTTGGCGTAATTATACTTTTTAACGACGCCATAAAGAAAAATCAAACTGGCTGTGACGCGAAAATTTAATTCCATACGTTCAAGGCTCATCAAAATCAAGTTTATTAACATCAGTACGGTTTTTTTACCTAACTATTGGCTGGTAACCTAAGGGGCTATTTCGGTTACTTGCGGACGGATAGGTAAATTCACGGGCACAACCTGAGAGAGCTGCTAACACTAGCCCTAGTATTAGTAGTAGTGCTTCGCAGAATCTACCGTCGGATCGGAATCGCGACCCACTGAGAGGATCTGGCGAGAAATTCAATGGACTGTGTCACTGGAGATCGATTGGAGAGTCTTATAATATATGGGACAGTAAAAGCAGCATGGTTTGTGATCAAAAGATCTTGTCTGCTCGAGGAGACGAGGTGAGGATATGCTCATTGACACCATCAGCTTTACTTTTTTTGATGCTCTAAATGTGCAGGCGAGCTTGATTTCCACTCAGTGCTAAGTGCTCACCGTCACTAAAGGATATGAGCTATGTCAATCCGCTGCCTAGTTAATATCATTCAAGCCTCCTTTGAAGAAGAATACGTTTAAGAGTAAGGGTCAAAATGTATCTTCAACATACACCATGGACTAACCAACAGCCTCTTTGTCGTAAAAAGGATTGATGGAAGCAACTCAAACTTCCTACCTATGCTGATAACCTTGAGAGGCTATTTCAGCTTCGCCCTAACGTGTAGGTGAGCTCACGGGGCTCAACCGGAATGTTGCTAGCACTGGCCCTAGCAAGAGCAGTGCTTCGCAGAATCTACCATTAAATCGGAAACGCTACCCACTGAGAAGATCCGGCGAGAAACTCAGTGGGCTGTGTCTATGGGTTAATTCGCTCGCCGAGCCCTTCGTCGCAAGCGACGGATTTGACAAGGACGGTGACCGGTGCTTGTGGTACCTAAAAGTACCGTTAATGGATCGGGAGGATCCGTAATGACGTGTTTTGGGCGACGTCGACAAACGGACCGATGCAACTTAGTAGCTATTGCTAAGGAAAATCTTTCAACATGCAGGTAATATCGCTCCGTAGTCTTAATCAATGATGTTCGTACCATTATTTATACTATTAGCTCATGAAAAAAACAGAACAGAATTCTCTTGTCAAGGCCTGCTGTTGTCCTATTAACAATATAATAAATTTATTTTCATATCCACGATATAATATCGTATTAATCACGATCGGTAATTAAACCGTGCCAAGGTTGGATATTGGAGATTCGCAAAAAATATATATATTTTATGTTTGACGCAACAGTTTTAAGATTTTATTAGCTTCTTTTCATTGATATTTGGTGTGGTGGATAGCTTACGGTTCTTAGTAGGTGGTTTTTACTAATTTAATGATTCAAATTCATCATTCTGCCGAAACCATGTTGCTTGAACCCTTTGGAATTTGGTAGTCCGGGTAGAACCACTTATTCGTTGGAGCTATTTAAAACCTGATAGGCTTAATAACAAATATAGTCAATGTCACTAACTGCCAAGTGAGTCCCAAGTGCTCAAATCTTTTTTTTTTTTTTTNTAGACGGAGACGGAGATATTTACGTATATTCATGTTTCATTTTATGTACGCACTGAAATACTGTTATATTGTTTTCCTGCGAGTTAAAGTGCTGAGTAAGAACGAGATAGATATATGTTTATGTATGTGCCTTCAAAATGGGTGCTATTTATATAAGCAATTGTACGTATAGAACAATATGTCGTGTCTCTACTATATAGGTCTATGGCTCAAATATATTAAGTGTATAATCTATGCCAAAGTGAAGTAAGCATTCGTTTTCGTTTTCCAGAGACATTTTATCTCACGAAAAATTGTTTTCACCAATCGGTAACATTGCCTTTTAGCCATGTCAGTTACTTATTGTTTATTAATCTTTTCGATAAAATATAGAGGTAGCTTAGTAAGAGAAATCCAGCGTTTTTTTTGGGTCAATTCTGCACAAGGTACTTTAAGAAATTACATGGATTAATAAACTACTATATCACACATTAATATTTAAAGAAACATTAAATAGAAAAGTCTAAGCACGATTCCAAGTTCCCACCAAAAAGTTGCAAGATTATCTAACACGCAATGTTACCAGCACAATATGAACCTTTTTTTCTCTTTCTAAAATTTACATTAAGTAACAATTCGTGAAATGCGTTCAAAAATGTAACGGCATTTAGTATAGCTGGTCAGCTGTGTCTTTATTTATTTAGTGAGTCAAACTAACAAGGCGATCACCAAATCAGAGCTACTGTAAAATGGACACATTCAGTATTATTGTACAGAATCTTGACCTCCTAAGCGATGAAACTGTATTCTACGCACAAACTGGTTACTGGTTACTGGTGGTAGGACCTCTTGTGAGTCCGCACGGGTAGGTTCCACCGCCCTGCCTATTTTTGCTGTGAAGCAGTAGTGCGTTTCGGTCTGAAGGGTTAGGGCAGCCGTTGTAACTACATAATTATACTGAGATCTTAGAACTTATATCTCAAGGTGGGTGGCGCATTTAAGTTGTAGATGTCCATGGGCTCCAGTAACCACTTAACACCAGGTGGGCTGTGAGCTCGTCCACCCATATAAGCAATAAAAAAAAAACCTACTACCAAGGCAATCACCAAATCAGAGCTACTGTAAAATGGACACATTCACATTATTGTATAGAATCTTGACCTTCTAAGCGATGAAACTGTATTCTACGCACAAGCATCGAAAGATTCCCTCGACACGTCAAATTTATCGATATATTTTATAAATAGTTTAGGTCATCTCTAGTCGGAGCAGTTATTTTAGTGATGTCACAAAGGAAATAGTAAAATGTTTTATGCTAAAATAAACATTACGCGTGTACGTACGTAAATACGTTCTTAGGCATGTGTTATGATTTACAATTATTTTTCATGCCAATTCTTCGGCACGAGTGTTGGCAGTTTATTTAATGGCTGTTTGAAGTTAATGCTCGGTCTGGCTGGCTTCGGTATACAAGATTGAAGCCACCATGCCGCATAGCATCTGGTTTTTGGCCAGAACGCGGGAAGAGGAATTGTGTGAATTGTTTTAATATTGTTAATTTAGCGTTTCTTCAGATTTAAACGTGTATTAACTGTTTAGCGTCTGTGAAAGTGCATAAGTGTGCAAAAATTAAACAGTTGCTGAACGTGAGTTCCCCCAAAAATCCCACTAAATTCCTAAAAAAGTTCCCACCATTTTACTGAAAGATTATTTTACTCATCTCATCTCGTTTCAATCCGATTTATTTAATTTTATTCCTAGTGATTACATTATTTAATGAATCAGCTTAATTTCGCTCGACTTTCCATATAACAGAAATATAAAATAAATGTTTTTTTTTTTTTTCAAAATTCAGTATGGCATTTTCCCCCTACCTATTCGCCTTGGGGCTGTTTCAGCTACGTGCGGACGGGTAGGTGAGCTTACGGGCTCAAACTGAGAGAACTTTCTTACACTAGCCCTAGCAACAGCAGTGCTTCGCTGAATCTATCACCGGATCGGAATCGCGACCCACTGAGAAAACGGGCGAGAAAATCAGTGGGTAAATGTGGCATCGCAAAAGGGCAATTGACATACTTAAAAAAAATTAAGAAGAACGTCCATAAGTCTGTGGGCTGTAAACTAGTATGGCCATACAACCATAGCTATCTGTGGCGGGTAGCCATCACAGAACACAAGATATTTGACAGGTGCCTGAATCTCGCTTACGACATTTTCAAGATAAGTTTACATACATACAAGTTCCGAACAACAACAGACCGTCGGTCTAACAAGCAATGACACCCGTTCGTTGGAAGATCCATAATAATAGGTTGGGGAAAAAGA